TGTAATGTGTTAAGTGCCCATGACTTATGAGGAAATTATGTTTATACAACAAATCTTAAATCTCAAGTAGATACCATTTATAGAATTTAAGATGAAAAGTGAAAAATATAACAATTTTCAAATATATAAAAGTAAAGTTTATTTCTGTAACATAGTACTCCGGCCCAAAATACAACATAGACATTGCAATGGAAAATACAATATACCTTTAATAGTAACAAAGAAGAAAATTTAAAAAAAATCACACAAAATTTTCAAATCAATTCCAAGTTAAAAATGAAAATTTAAGGATGATAATTCTGATTATTATAAAGGTGCTAGAATAATGGACCTAATGCCACACATGAAGTGGGTGATGATAAGAAACATATACTCAATGTTTGAAGTAGGTATGTTAAGAAATAAAGAAGTTGTATAAAAAAAGCAACAACATTTTTTAAGAAAATTGCAAGTTCAAGGGGGGTAAATCTAATAAATTTGGTGCTAGAGTTGTGAAGCTTGACATGCATAATTTCCATACCGTCATGATGCCATCTTTTTTATATTTTAAGTTTCATAAAAATGTTTTCTGTACTTTTGAGTAATCACAAATATTGTTATATTTGCCATATTTTAAGTCTTTTTGTGGCCATAGCAACCAAATTTTTCAACATAAGAAGAAAAGAAGATGTTCATAATTTCCAGACTGCTATTTAACTATATTTCAAGCTTCATTAAAGTATTCAGTACTTTTTGCATGAGGTTTCATGGACGAAGGACAGAGGGTAAACCTAGTCACATCTGGTTAAACTGATAAGGGACTAAAAACAATATTTATGTTTATAATGAATGTTTAATTAAATTTTTATCAAAACTGCTCAAGTTGATGGTCTTTACCTGAGTCATAAACAATGTCTTAATTGGTTCTATTATATCTTTTTTATCATGCAACACATCAATCAACATGCTAAATCTATCCGTCCCCCTCACGGCACTGCCAAGCACACAACTCTGTATTAATCAGTTGCCATAGATATAAAATGTTTAATGTCACATTATCAGTTCACATGTAGTCTCATCATCCTCTATCAAATGTTAAACAACTTGTCCAGCAAGCATCAGTTCTGTAAATAAAATATTTTATTTATAATCCATTATGAAAACTGTCTTTGGGAGAAATTTTAACTACTTACATATGTATAGTAGAATTTGAGTCTTTGTTACTAAAGTTATTTTGCTACTCAAAGCATTATACAAATATTCACATATCATATGGAAAAATCTGATGTCCTTTGCAGAATTCAAAAACAGTGTTGAGGGGAAAATGTTTTGTTTTTTCACTTGGCCACAAAATCCCTCTTCCTCCTATTTAAAGTGATCAATAATTTTCTTGAGTAATTGTCTTAAGAACTTACCATGGTTTGATCTTGGATAATGTATGGGAGGAACTTCTATAGTAAGGCAACAACTGTTTCTTTGTGGCAGTAAGGCAACAACTGTTTCTTTGTGGCAGGTAGTAATCAACAAGATACAGATTTATTGTTAGTTTTTTAGAATTTCAAAATACTATAGGAACTCAGGAATAGGACAGCATACTGCGGTGCATACTTTTCTAACTTTTACAGGCTTTACTTTTTTGTTTGTCTGACATTTCATAATTTCATATCATCCAATTGAATTGTCTTTAAGTAAGTAATCTCAATTTAATAATAATCTGCTAGTTTAAAAAATAGGTGAAATCAAGAGCCATATATAGAACAAGAGCTGTCACGGGAGACAGCGAAGCTCGACTAATAAAATACTGGACGCAGTAAGGAGGACAAAACTATGAAAGAAAAATCAATTATGTATAATTATGTATTAATTTATAGTAAAAAAATAACATTTGTTAACATAAATTCCAAGATCAAGGGGAATAATTCTAGAAATAGTCACGCTAGAGTTATGAACCTTGTCACACAACATGTGTGTAATGATAAGAAATATATATTTGAAGTTTGAAGTAGATACCTTAAAAAGTAAAGAAGTTATAAGTTTTCTTAAAGAAAATCCTAAGTTCAAAGAGAAATAAATCTGTAAATATTGCTTCAACAATTATGAACATTGTCACATAAAATGTAATTGATGATAAGGAATAAGTATTTGAAGTTTGAGGTAGATACCTTTAAAACTAAAAAAAAGTTATAGTAAAAAACAAGCAATTATCATAGTATTGCAAGCAATCCATAAGTCCCCTACCGGTAAGAGCCCAAGCAACATTCTGAAGGGCCATTAGCCATTCACTTAGGTTCCTATTTTAAGTAAATTTGTTGAAAAAGTTCTTTAAAAGTGATCACAGGAAACAGTTTTTATGTACAGACAGACGAACTGAAGGACACTCTAAAGTTATTTTTTAAACATCCCTGTTAACAAAATATAACATTTTTAAAATCCTATCATGATTGAAGAAGTTGGAGTAAAAATTACCAATTTCTCAAAAAAAAGTCTAAGTTCAAAAGGGGCATAATTCTGGAAATAGTCTTGCTAGAGTATTGAATACTCACAAATGTTGAGTGACAATAAGAAACATTTATATGAAGTTTGAAGTAGATACATTCAGAAAAAGAAGTTATTAAAAAAACAATGTTTTTTTCATGAAAATTTTAAGTTCAAGGGAGGTAATTCTGATAAATTTTGTGCTAGAGTTGTAAACCTTGTCACATATGATGTGGTTGATGACAAGCAACTTATATTTAAAGTTTGAAGAAAATACCTTAAGAAATAAAGAACTTATAGTGAAAAAAAAATTAAAAACTAGAATCAGAAATCTTGAAATTCAGTCTATTTGTTGCCATAGCAACCAGAATTTTCAACATAGGAAGATAAAAAAGGATGTGCATAATTTCCATACTGCCATCTACCCATATGTCAAGTTTCATAAAAATATTTTCAGTACTTTTTGTGTTATCACTGGATCCAGGTTATGTGTAAAATTTGCCATATTTTCAGTCTATTTGTTGCCATAGCAACCAGAATTTTCAACATAGGAAGAAAAGAAAAAGACGTGCATAATCTTCATACTGCCATCTATCCATATATCAAGTTTCATAAAAATATTTTCAGTACTTTTTGCGTTATCGCGGGATCCAGGTTATGTGTAAAATTTGCCATATTTTCAGTCTATTTGTTGCCATAGCAACCAGAATTTTCAACATAGGAAGAAAAGAAAAAGACGTGCATAATCTCCATACTGCCAACTATCCATATATCAAGTTTCATTAAAATATTTTCAGTACTTTTTGCGTAATCGCGGGATCCAGTTTTGTGGACGGACGGACAGACGGACTGACGGACGGACGGACGGACAGACGGACAGACGGACGGAGGGTAAACCTAAAGTCCCCTCCGGTAAACCGGTAGGGGACTAATAACATTTTTCTAGTAAAAAAAATCTAAGTTTTGGGATGATTCTTGCAATATTGGTGCTAAAGTTATGAACCTTGTCACATAAGATGTGGATGATGATAAGGTACATATATTTGAAGTATGAAGTTGATCCCTTTAGAAATAAATAAGTAACAGTAAAAAATAATATTTTTTAAGGAAAATTCTAAGTTCAAGGGGAGATAAATCTGAAAATATTGGTGCTAGAGTTATGTACCTTGTCACATAAGATAAGGATGATGATGAGGAACATATATTTGAAGTTTGAAGTTGATACCTTAAGAAATGACAAAGTTATAGTGAAAAATATTTTACTGCACCAAAACTTTAATCTGAAATCTAGACGCGGACGCCGGGGCGAGTAGGACAGCTCTCCATATACTTTGTATAGTCGAGCAAAAAAGGAACCATCAAATTTGGCCACTTTTTTAAGTAGCAAGTCTAAATGTTGAAATGATATTATATTCTTAGAGGTCATACACTCGGATAATATGAAATGATATTAAGATAATTGTGAGAAGCATTTTTAAAAGCTGTTGCAGGATAGGAAATATAAACCGCAATTTGCGGTCCCATTCCCTGAGTTCCTTATAATAGAATATACATGAAAAAGAAATAATTATAAATATTTTACTTTTAGGCTCTAAAACAGACACCTGCTTAATATTTTACTTATATCTTTAAAAATGTTTTTTGCAAACCTAAACCCCTGTAAAATACCGAGAATTTCTGCTCTTAAAGGAAGGAATTTCTATCCTTAAAGCAGCTTGCCTCCAGATTTATGCCAATTTCCATGAAAATGTATTTCAAAGTAAAACAGTATTAAGTGGACAAAGAGTGCAGACACTTACAATTCATGTAAATTACCAAAATAAGGACAAAATATGCAAAAATAGCTCTGAATGCTGCAAATTGTAAGCAACACAAAAGAAATATGGTGATAATTACAAGGAAATCAGTCCGTAATTGCACACATGTAAATTATTACTTGAATCGTGATGCTTTTACTTTTCTAAAAATTGTACTGAAAGCTTGATTTTAATGAAAAATATTGACTCATTTGGAGGCAGGTAGCTTTAAATATCAATTTAGAGTAAGGAAAATGCTGATATATATTATTTTCAATATCATTTATAAGAATATCATTTTTCATAATTGATTCTGATTCCAAGATGTTCATGAAAAAGATTACATGTACACAAAGATTATTTTACACTACAAATTTTAGCCTTGATATTAAATTCACTCACAGAAATGATGGTTTAAATATGACGGCAAAATTGACAAAGATAATCTAGCTGTCCTTGAAATGAATCTAGATCCATCTTTACTGGTAACATTTTCATTTGTAATTAAAGGGACTCCGACGTGAAGGGGCCGAAAATACTTTTTCAAGATTTTTGTATAACTAGATGTGTTACTCTGTTTTCAAGAAACAATCAATTTTATTGTGCAAATTGGTCCAAAAAATGAAAACTGTTGCAACGCTTTTCACTCAAATCGGCCAAAAATGGCATAAAAAATCAATTATCAATTTAATACTGTGTGTATTTATTTATCATCTATTGTTTGGTTTCAAATTTAAGTGTACCAGTTGATGTAAGAAAGAATTTCATAATTTATTATTTAAGGCTATTGGACCTCAGTGGAGTGCCTTTAAGGTTAATCATCATTTATATATGGTTGATAGTGAACAAAGTATATTGCTTATTTGAACCATTTAAAGTAAAATTCCTGGAACTTACCAGTACTTACTGGGTGTAAATTTTTTTATTATCTTTCTGGATTTAACTCTGACTTTAAGTAGTCTTACTGCAATGCTTTCCTGCCAAAAATTGTTTCAACATCAGCCAATATCGTAATAAATCAGTCATTTCAGGAACGTTATTTTTCAAATTTTTTGGTATCCAACAATGTTCAACCATTGATAACCAGAATTTAGTACATAGTGATAAAGGATGATTGTTTATAATCTATTGCTAAAGATTCTGAGAAAATAGTTGGGTAAATAACCGATTTGCTACCATATTGGCCAATGTTAGAATTGTTTTGGCGGCAAAGCATTAAGTTAAGACTACCAAAACATGTTTATGGCCACATCTTGGAGGTTGAACACCATAATGGGTATTCCTGGATAACTAACCAGTTTCTCAACAATTGAACCGACTTAACTAATATCAACAAGCAATTATCATAGTATTGCAAGCAATCCATAAGTCCCCTACCGGTTGGAACCCCATCAACATTCTGAAGGGCCAATGGCCATTCACTAATGTTTCAATTTTTCTATATTTTAAGTAAATTTGTTGGAAAAGTTCTTTAAAAGTGATCACAGGAAACAGTTTTTATGAACAGACAGACAGACGGACTGAAGGACACTCTAAAGTTAATATTTGAAACATCCCTGTTACCAAAATATAACATTTTTAAAAGCAAAATGCTTAAAGAGGAGATAACTCTTGAATTAAAGATGCAATTTCATAAAAAAAAATTCAGCTCTTTTTGACTTATCACAAACAATGTTATATTTGCCATGTTTTAAGCCTATTTGTTGCCAAGGCAACCAATATTTTTTCAAAATAGGGAGAACAGATAAGACATGCATAATCTCAAGACTGCCATCTACCCATATTACAAGTTTCATAAAAATATTTCTATTACTTTTTGCGTTAACACAGGATCCAGTTTATGTGTAAAATTTGCCATATTTTCAGTCTATTTGTTGCCATAGCAACCAGAATTTTCAACATAGGAAGAAAAGAAAAAGACGTGCATAATCTCCAGACTGCCATCTACCCATATTTCAAGTTTCATAAAAATATTTCCAGTACTTTTTGTGTTATCACTGGATCCAGTTTATGTGTAAAATTTGCCATATTTTAAGCCTATTTGTTGCCATAGCAACCAGAATTTTCAACATAGGAAGAAAAGAAAAAAACGTTCATAATCTCCATACTGCCATCCATCCATATATCAAGTTTCATAAAAATATTTTCAGTACTTTTCAAGTTATCGAGGGATCCAGTTTTGTGGACGGACAGACTGACGGACTGACAGACAGACAGACAGACGGACAGACAGACAGACGGACAGACAGACAGACAGACGGAGGGTAAACCTAAAGTCCCCTCCGATAAACTGGTAGGGGACTTAAAATGATTTCAGAATCAACAGTGAGAGACAATTAAATGACCAATCGACACAATATCTGAGATCAACAGACTTACTACGGAATAAAAGAATATTTTTGTTTTTTCCCAGCTTAAACAAACTTTTACAGTTACAACTTTGAAAATAGGTGCAATAGGTTGACAATCGTGACCAGTAGTGCACCGTAAAGAAATAACCTTAATAGTTTGTACCGGTAGATTTAAGCTTAGAAAAACTCACATTTGCCGAGTTCCGGATAACATCTATTGCCATGGTGAAATTATGCCATGCCATAGGATGGAACCAGCGGCTCCTAGTGAGGATTACGAAAATGATGCTCTCCCTAATGAGCTAGACAAGCAGACGGACTTGGTGTCAACAGAATAAACATGGTCATGAACATTTGTGGGTCAAATTTATTTATATGCAATTTCAAATGAAATGATTTTGGTGTGTATGTTGATACACAACAAAATTTGTTATAAAAAAACATGTTCAATATTGTTGGGCAAAATGATTTTTTTTTAATATTGCTTACATAATAAACTTGTCTTTCTTAAGAGAATCAAATAAATTCACAGCTTTTCCTTGCTGACATATTACATTCACTTCAATAACCGTGGTCAGATCTACAAATGTAAAAAGAACATAATTATCACAACTTGGTTGTTAATATTTTATCCGAGGCTCAGAAACCTAAATCACTCTACACATAATGAATACGATGGGCAAAATGTATAGTGTTTAAAATGTAATAAAACAATTCAAATACAAGACTATTTTCTCCCCCTCTGCTTTTACCATGGCTTGGGACATGCTAGTAGTTAAAACTGCACACATCCGTGTATGTTTTAATTTTTGAATTCAGGATTTTTTTTTTTAAATTATACTTTTTTCAATTTGAGTCAAAATTTGCTTTTTTATGGCAAATAAATAGTATTGATTTACTTATTTTACTCTAATATTAATTAAATAGTGCACACTATTGCTTAATAAAAACTAAGACATAAATGGAAACATTGTCTTAATTCTGACTTTGTAAGTTTTCTAAAGAATATTAAATCTAAATATTTTACTAAATCATTTAGACATATAATAAAATATTACACGTTGAAACAATATGAATCTGGGAGTGTGCTGTTTTAAAACTAGGCAGCATTGGGAGAAGTGTTGAGATTGTCAAAACCTTTGAAGCTCTGAAATGTTGAATGGATTTAAGTCAGTCACTGTACGTTGTAGGGTTGGTCACAGTAAGTCGTAGGATTCAGTATCTATTCTAGAAATTTAAAAGTACGGGTGAATTTCCCCCCCCAATTAAAAAATAGGTTTGCAAAAACAAGGGGTGCCAGTAAAAGAGTAATTGTGTAAAAAAATTCAATGTTGTTTATATCAAGCCAGAGCTAATCTTTTTATTTTCTTAAAAAAATAAAAAGGCAGCTAGATTGGGTTTTTATTCATAGAAACAAATCAGGGACGACTCAACTAGAATATGTCTGCAGCTATTTTTATCATATTACACATTATTATTAATATCGAGTTATGAGTAAGGGTTAGTGTTATGTGTTAGGGTTAGAGTTAGGATTATTGAACATGAATTTTGCTGCAAACAGATTCTAAAAGTGCCGTTATCATCTTTATAGAAAAAGGAGTTGTCAACGAAAAATATTGATTTTATTTAGCAAACTCCTCACAGTGATTACCTCCCTGGCAGATTGCATCACTATACTAACAAGGGGAGATCACTGTGTAGGAGATTGTTTATTTAGTACACAATTACCTCCCTTTGACTTCCCCGTGTTCATGTAAACAAAATAAGTTGTCTAGACCTTTATGCTTTTTGAGAAAACTGATGAATTCAGATGCAGGATTTCACACACGCGTTTCCAAAATGTGCGCAATCTTTGAAAAAATAGTGTGAATCCCGCATTAACAAGTCCTAGAATAGACACTGAGGTTTAAGTCACAAGTACACATCTCCCACCATTCAACAGCCGCCAAAGAGCTTCAATAAATGCCAAATGTCTCTGTCTGACCAATAACCGGAAAAAGTTTTGGTCTAAGGTTGCATAGGCCTGGTACTGGTAGTTAAAGTAAATCAGTCAAAAAGCTTCCCCAATTAATGACTATTGGGAAAGCCATGACTGATTCATAAAGTCTTGTAAATTGGTCAATGTCATAGTCAATGTCATTACAAAAGCTAGTCAGATCAAATATTTTGATGGAGAGGTTTGTCACAACTGGTATATGTCAATGATGAATGGTCCGTACCTACATAATCTTGTCTGGAGGAAAACTTTGTACAGAAAAGAAAGTTTTGTAAAGATTGAGATAAAGTTAGATAAGAATAAAGTAGAAAATCTGTCATATCTGCACTTCCCCTTCATGGCAGAACTATGATGGGGATGTGCAAACAATCAACAATCATGGATGCCAGGAGACCTGAAATTAACTTTCTACAGAAAGTTGATCTGTCTTAAGAAAGCCAAATGTTTTTATATCTTTTTCATCTACATTTTCTCAACCGAATTATCTTCTTTTTTATTCATTCGCTTTCCATACATGATGAACTGTTTTCACTCGTGACTGACAAATTTCATTTCATTCAACTCTCCTCTAGTTAATTCCATTTCCTTGACTATTATTCAATTGTTTCCATTCCAATCTTCATGTATTCTCTCCCTTTCCATTTATTTTCATTCATTAATTTTTTCACTTTCACATCTCCATTTTTCAAAAATGTCTTTTTTTTTCACTTTCACATCTCCATTTTTCAAAAATGTCTATTGCTGACCTCTTGTAGTTACTTCATTTCTTTCATATTTCAACCAACACTTTCCATTTTTCACTGCACTGACTTTTCATGCCCTTTTTCCATCCTCATAACTTCACAATGTTTTCATTCTCATTTCTTTCAAGGCAATTCACTTTACCCTGTTCTATTCATTTCACAATTTAACACTAACCGAAACATATAATTCATAATGGCATTTATTTATGTCCCTCCCGCCACAATAAATACAATATAATACCTTTTAAATATTTTACCTCTCTGTTCTGTACTTGCCTCGTCTTTCACACTGCTGAGTGACTAAAATCACTGCAATTCTTACCGTCTTGATAACTTGATGGAAAATATCATCTAGTACTCACCATTTAACAACTGTATTTTAAAAAGAGAAATACTAGTTATTGTACATTATACATTCTCTACAACTAATATATTTAAATAAATTCTTTAAACTGATAAATAATTTACAATTAGATATTTTGCAAAATTCTATGCTTATTAAAGTTTAAAAATATATCTATGAAAGGTCAGTGGTTCTTCTCGGTCGACGAGAAAATAGAAAAAAGTATAATTTAGTTACAACTTCTACACGGAATAAATGTTAATACATTTTGTAAATCATTTAAACTTTCTTACTATATAATGTAATCATTATCCCGTCAGATTAACATACACACACACTACACCATTTTCCGATGAACCATCAGATCTCCTATAAGAAAAATACAGAAGAATTGGTTAACATGAATGATGACCAGTTAGTGAATCAACAAAGAGTACAAATGGCATTAATTTGACAAATTATCAAAAAAGACGTCCGTTAGCTCAATAGGCTATGGTGGACTCAATAGTTGGACTATGAATCGGGCGGCCCAATTTTGATTCCGACAGTGCAGGTCACTTTCTTTGTGACTGATGATGAAATCCTTTCTAATGATGGTCATTCACACTGTACTTCTGCTCTGGCATGTTCAAAAGTTATCAGTTCCTTGTGTAAGTGAAGGCAATCAGTACTGGTAAACATGCATGACAGCCTGTCCAGGAACAATGTAGTGGCCAAATTGAACTCTGGTATATTCAATGTAGCTTATTGCCGTGATCTGGAGTGAAAACTACCAGCCATCAAATTATCAAAATAATAAGATCTGTCAAGACCTGTCCACAGAAGCATGCTCCTATTTAAAAGTAGAAAGGAGGGCATAATTCATAAAAAGTGCCTGGCAGAGTAACTTGTCCTTGATAGCAGCCAAGGATTTCAAGTTTATAGCAAATGTGTATTGCTTTTTGTTTTTAAATATTAAGAAACTATTTTAAATTTAAAGGGAGACAATTAAGCACAACTAGTCAGAGTTATCTGTCAATTAAAAAATCATACCAATTTAATACAGCATTTTTTAAGTGGATACTTACAATTATATTATAGCTTATTGGATATGAATCTTTACAAAAAAGCTGACCGAAATTTTTTTTTATCAAAATGAGTCAAAAATTGATAGCAAAAGGCAGTAGCATGTAATTCTCTATAATTACAACATGAAAATCATATGCATTCTAATTTCCAATATGTGTAACTGTGACAAATAGAAGCTGTCATCGATAGAGACAATATGAAAGTATTGTTGATATTTTTGTAGATCATTAATCAATACATTTGAAAAAATAATTTTGATTAATTGGAAAGGAAATGGAAATAACTAGAGGAGAATCAATTGTCCACAAATTATGAAAATTCACCCAAAACATATACAAAAGGAAGAGGCCATAATTCCGACACTAAGCCGTTCTTGTATAAATCAGAATTGTGCCTCATTCTCATTACTAACAAGTACAGACTGAGAAAAGCTGAGCACGAGGCTCTGAGGTGAGTTCTTGATCCTTAAAGGGACTTATCTACTAAAGTTTTTTGACATAACAGGACTGGATATAATTATTTCTGTGTGTCATTTCATGTAGGTCTAGACCAATATCTTGTGTTCAAACTTTAAGACCATTCTCTCATACACAAAAAGAACCGGTGTAAAACTGCCGAGGGATAGGGACTTATATACATGTTTATACGGCTGTCATTTTTTCTCCCTCGATTTAAAAGATATTGTTGCCCTAAAAAAGCTTTGCAAAGTATCGCATTTTACTAATACTTTTCTAAATTATTTTTTACTTATATGATGCTAAAATAACATAGCGCAAACACGAACGCTGCCGGTTCCATCTATATCAAGTGATAAAATTTATACAAGACTCGTCAGCGTCAATTAATTTTGTAAACAGCATAATGACATCATCCTAAGTACACAACTCATTCATAAAGGTGCTCGAATGACATCATTTTAAACTGACATTTGTGGGGTTTAAAGAATGACTTATCAAGCACTGATGTAAATTCAAAACAATACAGTCTGACACTTAAATTTAAATTGTTGAAAAGTTGATAAAATCATTTGAATAATAAGGTGAAACATTGTTTTCTAATCATTTTTATTTTGTTTCATAACTTTTAAACCTTAGCGTTAGTAGGGTGTGAAATAGAACAATGTTTTACAAAAATTGGCAGCATAGTTAAATGTCTACCAGGTAAAATAGCATTCCTCATTATGAGAGAAAATTTACCACTCAGACCTACAGCCTTTGTCATGTTTGTGGTCAATTCCTATGCTTCAAAACTCAGAGGGTGCCAACAAGTCTGTCATATCTTTATATTAGTCCCGTGTTTTTAATTGTAGAGATAAAATTTGAATAGATATGTTGAATAAAATACGGTTCTAACCTTTTAACAAATGCTTAACATTCACATTTTTCTTTTAAATTCAATATAACTTTGAAAGGAAAAAATATTTTGGATAAAAAAATGTTATCGGCCAACCTTACCAAAACTCTGGTATGGGTCGCAGAGGGGATACAAAGATAATTTTAAGACTTGCTGATGTATACATGGATTAATAGCTTGATATTTAAATCTTTTGGAACCTATACAGAAATTTCTCTTCATCCAAGTTATAAATAAATGAAGTAAAGAAATATCTGGCTTTGCACAAGGATTTCTTTTACAGTCCAACTAAAGTTATTCGACAACCCTTTATTCAATACCCAATATTATCCAAAGTAGATCAGCAGTACTGTTTTATCACTATATTATTATTTATAAAGAATGTTGACAAGTTATATGGGCCTATATAAATGGTTGTTTGGAAATACAACGCCGAGCCGCTAGGCGAGGGGTTATATTGCAAACAACCATTTATATTTGGCCATATAACCTCTCAGGAATATTTATAAGGAATTTATAATACTGCAAACTTCTTTTTTAGAGAAAAAAGTGAGATTTCTTTATCAATTGACAGCAGCCGTGTATATAAACGTCAACCGGCTCAACTTGTGAAAAAATTTCTAATAACCGCGTGTGTCAGTATTTAGACAATGGTGATAAATATTCTTGTTTTTTTAATTTCTTTACTACCGAAAATCACCTGCAAGCCAGTTATTTCTCATTTAATTATTGGACAGTTAAAAGCATTCAATTTACTAATTTTTAAATTAAAGTGAAAGTAAACAATTAAAACAGAGAAATAAATAAACAAGCAAATACTACCATGTTTTTGTAAATGAATGTATATGTATTTCAAATCAGTGCATTATGTCCACTAACAAAAGATATCTTAATAATGAATATGTATCTTATTTATGATTAAAATTTACACTGTGTTGTAACTGTAAATGCTTGAAGATAATTTTCATGTAACTACATGTTCTACATAATGGAGAATAAAATGCAAATATTCATACCTTCAATATGCCAATAAAACTTTAGTTTGTAACACATCTTTTGTTGTTCATTTTTTTCTGACTGACTAATGGAAACAAGTGTGTTATAAACGGTACTTTTTCTATGATTGGCATATGACAAAAAAGTTGAATATTTGTCGTCAATCACTATACAATGTATACGTATTATGATTATTCAAACCCATCAATTATCAAAAATGAATTTTCAATCCAAAGCAATTCGAAATATTAAGGATGGACTGTATTTTATTATAATCACTGTGTCCTGACTTGTTATCTATAATGAGACGTACCTGTGACATCCTTGAGTAGTTTTTTTTATCGATACACTGTGTCCATCTCTCTCCGCACTGGGGCAACTCCAAATCTGACAAATCTTCACCAATGTCACAAAACCATCCACATTCCAACATAAATCCATCAAACACAACTTCCAACATCAATCTAGAAATCTAGCCAACATGTTGCAAGGATTTTCTGAAATATCTCTGGGGTTAACAGAACAACATTGCAATCTCAAAAAGTAACAGTATAACCTATACAATATTTCCATTAAACAGATACAATTCTAAGTTTTATTTTTGCGTGACTGTCCAGCTTTAAAGGTAGAGGAAAATGTGCCTTAATGGCATTGTCTCGGACAAAGACAGACACCTAATAAGAGTAGAACCACCAACTTTCCAGTACATAGCTAGTTAAACAACTAGAAATGGCAATGCCTTTATCAAGACTTACTTTTGACTTCAAAAGCAAATTTTACCTGACCATACAAAGTGTTCATCTCTCTCCACACTGAAACAACTTCCAATCTTACAAATCTGCCAGCCCAGACGTGTAGAAAGCTATTCCATACCATATCCTTCTTGCGAGTATAAAGTCGCTGGACCTCTCGAAGAATTGATAGTCTCGATCAACTTCCACCATGCATGTCAAGTACTTCATTACTCTGTCACAGGTGTGCTTTTACCATCCATTTCCTGACATCTATCCATCATCACATTTAATGCCACTTAAGCCATTCAGACTCCATGGTCTATAGGTTTACTGAAAAGTCACTGGGTTAACAAAACAACATTCCAATCTAAAAATGTTAACATTGACCATATCTTAAACAAACCCTTAGCTAAACTAGAAACAATTGTTTAGTTGGTTGTCAAGTCATATGGCGACTGGCCGGCCTCCTTTATTTGTAGGAAAAATGCCCCAAATGTTCATTGTTTCAGGCAAGGGCTGGTACCAAACAGATTATAGCAACCAATATTCCAGTCTACATAGTTATAGACTTTAAATCTACAAAAGCATTTCTAATCTACTGAATGAGTAACTGATTTATTACTAAGCTATTGAAAAATTGAACCTCCATACATGTTGCACTCCAGCTGTCCTGTGCCTTACACAAACTCAAAATAGATAATTTACCAATGCTCCATCATGTCACTTTCCAGCACAATCACACTTCACCAATGTCATAAAAATCACTTCACCAATGTCACACAACCATCCACATTCTGACATAAATCCATCACATCAATCTAGAAATCTAGCCAACATGTTGCAAGGGTTTTCTGAAATGTCACTGGGGTTAACAGAACAACATTGCAATCTCAAAAAGTAACCTAAGCAAATTTTCTATTACACAGATACAACTCAACGTTCTATTTTGGTGACTGTCCAGCTTTAAAGGTAGAGGAAATTCTGCCTTAATGACATTGTTTCGGACAAAGACAGAGACTTTTTTAAGAGTAGAACCACCAACTTTCCAATACATAGCTAGTTAGAAAACAAGAAATGGATATGGCTTTATTGAGACTTACTTGGGACAAAAACAGACACCTTTTAAGAGTAGAACCACCAACTTTCCAATACATAGCTAGTTAGAAAACTAGAAATGGAAATGCCTTTATTGAGACTTACTTGTGACTTCGAAAGCAAATTTTTCCTGACCATACATAGTGTTCATCTCTCTCCACACTGAAACAACTTCCAATCTTACAAATCTGCCAGCCCAGAGGTGTAGAAAGCTATTCCATACCATATCCTTCTTGCGAGTATAAAGTCGCTGGACCTCTCGAAGAATTGATAGTTGATCGCTCGATCAACTTTCACCATGCATGTCAAGTACTTCATTACTCTGTCACAGGTGTGCTTTTACCATCCATTTCCTGACATCTATCCATCATCACATTTAATGCCACTTAAGCCATTCAGACTCCATGTTCTATAGGTTTACTGAAAAGTCACTGGGTTAACAAAACAACATTCCATTCTAAAAATGTTAACATTGACCATATCTTAAACAAACCCTTAGCTAAACTAGAAACAATTGTTTAGTTGGTTGTCAAGTCATATGACGACTGGCCGGCCTCCTTTGGTAGGAAAAATGCCCCAAATGTTCATTGTTTCAGGCAAGGGCTGGTACCAAACAGATTATAGCAACCAATATTCCAGTCTACATAGTTATAGACTTTAAATCTACAAAAGCATTTCTAATCTACTGAATGAGTAACTGATTTATTACTAAGCTATTGAAAAATTGAACCTCCATACATGTTGCACTCCAGCTGTCCTGTGCCTTACACAAACTCAAAATAGATAATTTACCAATGCTCCATCATGTCACTTTCCAGCACAATCACACTTCACCAATGTCATAAAAATCACTTCACCAATGTCACACAACCATCCACATTCTGACATAAATCCACCAACACAACTTCCAACATCAATCTAGAAATCTAGCCAACATGTTGCAAGGGTTTTCTGAAATGTTACTGGGGTTAACAGAACAACATTGCAATCTCAAAAAGTAACCTAAGCACTTTTTCTATTAAACAGATACAATTATACGTTCTATTTTGGTGACTGTCCAGCTTTAAAGGTAGAGGAAATTCTGCCTTAATGACATTGTTTCGGACAAAGACGGACATTTTTTAACAGTGGAACCACCAACTTTCCTATACATAGCTAGTTAGAAAACAAGAAATGGAAATGGCTTTATTGAGACTTACTTGGGACAAAGACAGACACCTTTTAAGAGTAGAACCACCAACTTTCCAATACATAGCTAGTTAGAAAACAAGAAATGGAAATGGCTTTATTGAGACTTACTTGGGACAAAAACAGACGCCTTTTCAGAGTAGAACCACCAACTTTCCAATACATAGTTAGTTAGAAAACTAGACATGGAAATGCTTTTATTGAGACTTACTTGTGACTTCAAAAGCAAATTTTACCTGACCATACATAGTGTTCATCTCTCTCCACACTGAAACAACTTCCAATCTTACAAATCTGCCAGCCCAGAGGTGTAGAAAGCTATTCCATACCATATCCTTCTTGCGAGTATAAAGTCGCTGGACCTCTCGAAGAATTGATAGTCTCGATCAACTTCCACCATGCATGTCAAGTACTTCATTACTCTGTCACAGGTGTGCTTTTACCATCCATTTCCTGACATCTATCCATCATCACATTTAATGCCACTTAAGCCATTCAGACTCCATGGTCTATAGGTTTACTGAAAAGTCACTGGGTTAACAAAACAACATTCCAATCTAAAAATGTTAACATTGACCATATCTTAAACAAACCCTTAGCTAAACTAGAAACAATTGTTTAGTTGGTTGTCAAGTCATATGGCGACTGGCCGGCCTCCTTTATTGGTAGGAAAAATGCCCCAAATGTTCATTATTCCGGCAAGGGCTGGTACCAAACAGATTATAGCAACCAATATTCCAGTCTACATAGTTATAGACTTTAAATCTACAAAAGCATTTCTAATCTACTGAATGAGTAACTGATTTATTACTAAGCTACTGAAAAATTGAACCTCCATACATGTTGCACTCCAGCTGTCCTGTGACTTACACAAACTCAAAATAGATAATTTACCAATGCTCCATCATGTCACTTTCCAGCACAATCACACTTCACCAATGTCATAAAAATCACTTCACCAATGTCACACAACCATCCACATTCTGACATAAATCCATCATCACAACTTCCAACATCAATCTAGAAATCTAGCCAACATGTTGCAAGGGTTTTCTGAAATGTCACTGGGGTTAACAGAACAACATTGCAATCTCAAAAAGTAACCTAAGCAATTTTTCTATTAAACAGATACAATTCTACGTTCTATTTTGGTGACTGTCCAGCTTTAAAGGTAGAGGAAATTCTGCCTTAATGACATTGTTTCGGACAAAGACAGACATTTTTTAAGAGTAGAACCACCAACTTTCCAATACATAGCTAGTTAGAAAACAAGAAATGGAAATGGCTTTATTGAGACTTACTTGGGACAAAGACAGACACCTTTTAAGAGTAGAACCACCTTTTCAATACATAGCTTGTTAGAAAACAAGAAATGGAAATGGCGTTATTGAGACCTACTCGGGACAAAAACAGACACCTTTTAAGAGTAGAACCACCAACTTTCCAGTACATAGCTAGTTAGAAAACAAGAAATGGAAATGCCATTATTGAGACTAACTTGTGACTTCAACAGCAAATTTTACCTGACCATACAAAGTGTTCATCTCTCTCCACACTGAAACAACTTCCAATCTTACAAATCTGCCAGCCCAGAGGTGTAGAAAGCTATTCCATACCATATCCTTCTTGCGAGTATAATGTTGCTGGACCTCTCGAAGAATTGATAGTCTCGATCAACTTCCACCATGCATGTCAAGTTCTTCATTACTCTGTCACAGTCCACTTTCTGACATCTATCCATCATCATATTTGGTGCAACTACATGGTCTGAAAGATCACATCCATCATCATATTTGGTGCAACTCCATGGTCTGAAAGATCACATCCATCATCACATTTGATGCAACTCCTCGGTCTGAAAGATCACAGGGGTAACAAAACAACATTCTAATCTCATAATTTTAACATCTACAATATTTTTACAAATATCTATCCAACTAAACAGACAACTACTTGCTATTTAATGGTTTAAAGTTATGTGCCAGATGAAAATATACCATTAAAGTGCAAAGTGTAGCAAACTGACATTATGAATAGAACCACTGACCTTCCAGTCTAGCTAGCTAAAGAAAATCAACTGTTATTATCAACTGAATAAAATAATCTTTTTAAACTCAGTTCTTTTCTTGAAAACCCCATTTAAATCAAGTAAAATATAGTAAAATACTCAATAATACCTGAAAATGTTCACCAATTTACACAACACAAATTACCAAATTGTGTACAAAACAAGAACTGTCGGAGGACAGTAACGCTCAACTTTTCGAAAAGGTGTCACAAGGGTGTTTCATTGAGTATAATAATGCTTACCTATATGAATGCATAAAATTGTCCGAAAAGAGGCATGATTATGCAAAAAAGCATATCAGAGTTATGGGACTTGTGCCAATCATCTTAGATAATCACAGAAAACAAGTGCGTGAAGTTTCAATCCATTCACTTCAGTAGTTATGGAGATATTTCTAAGTCGAAAAAGGGGCATAATTATGTAAAAAAGCAAATCAGAGTTATGGGACTTGTGCCAATCATCTTAGATAATCACAGAGAACAAATGTGTGAAGTTTCAATCCATTCCCTTCAGTAGTTATGGAGATACAAGCTTACACACAAAAACTTAATCAAGAATTTCTAAGTCAAAAAAGGGGCATAATTATGTAAAAAAGCAAATCAGAGTTTTGGACTTGTGCCAATCATCTTAGATAATCACAGAGAACAAGTTTGTGAAGTTTCAATCTATTCCCTTCAGTAGTTATGGAGATACCACCTTACACGCAAAAACTTAACCAAGAATTTCTAAGTCGAAAAAGGGGCATAATTATGTAAAAAAGCAAATCAGAGTTATGGGACTTGTGCCAGTAATCTTAGATAATCACAGAGAAAAAAACAAGTGTGTGAAGTTTCAATCCATTCCCTTCAGTAGTTATGGAGATACCAGTTTACATGCAAAACCTAACCACAGGGATGCCGACGCCGACAAATGGGTGACTGCATTAGCTTGATTATTCTGCGCAAAAGTCGAGCTAAAAATGTTACTATAATAAAATCCTTAAAGTAAAGTAATGCTTAGTAAAATACCCAATTGCTCCATCATGCCTCAATCCAACACATACACAGTCATCATCATATTTGGTGCAACTCCTCGGTCTGAAAGATCACATCATTCATCATATTTGGTGCAACTCCATAATCTGCAAGATCACATCCATCATCACATTTGATGCAACTCCATGGTCTGCAAGAGCACATTCATCATCACATTTGATGCAACTCCATGGTCTGAAAGATCACATCCATCATCACACATTTGATGCAACTCCAAGTTCAGCAAGAGCACATTCATCATCACATTTGATGCAACTACATGGTCTGAAAGATCACAGGGGTAATAAAACAACATTCTAATCTCATCTTCAATATTTTTACAAATAACTTTCCAACTAAACAGACAACTTTTTGTTATTTAATGGTTTAAAGTTATGTGCCAGTTGAAAATATACCATTAAAGTGCAAGGAGTAGCAAACTGACATTATGAATAGAACCACTGACCTTCCAGTCTAACTAGCTATAGACAATCAACTGTAATTCTCAACTGAATAAAATAATCTTTTTAAACTTGGTTCTATTCTTAATGAAAAATCCATTTAAATCAAGTAAAATATAGTAAAATACTCAATAATACCTGAAAATGTTCACCAATTCACACAACACAAATTACCAAATTGTGTACAAAAAAAATTACAATAATAAAATCCTTAAAATAAAGTAATGCTTAGTAAAATACCCAATTGCTCCATCATGCCTCATTCCAACACATACACAGTCATCATCATATTTGGTGCAACTCCTCGGTCTGAAAGATCACAGGGGTAACAAAACAACATTCTTATTTCATAATTTTAACATCTACAATATTTTTTACAAATTACTTTCCAACTGAACAGACAACTTCTTGTTATTTGATGGTTTAAAGTAATGTGTCAGATGAAAATATACCATTAAAGTGCAAGGAGTAGCAAACTGACATTATGAATAGAACCACTGACCTTCCAGTCTAACTAGCTATAGACAATCTGTAATTCTCAACTGAATAAAATAATCTTTTTCAACTCAGTTCTTTTCTTAATGAAAAATCCATTTAAATCAAGTTAAATATAGTAAAATACTCAATAATACCGGAAATTGTTCAACAATTTACACAACACAAATTACCAAATTGTGTACAAAAAAGTTACTATGATAAAATCCTTAAAATAAAGTAATGTTTAGTAAAATACCCAATTGCTCCATCATGCCTCATTCCAACACACACTTTGCAAATCTTGCACAACCATCCACATCCTTGTGTATCCACTATAATTTCAATGTAGGACCAGGATCCTCCAACCTCTTCTATTCAAAGGGAATATATTATTATTATTTTACAATTAGAAGAACCTGGCAACTTCCAAGTACTGTAGATCTACAAGTACAAAAAATATAGGTATTAAAACACAAACATATTAATTGATCAGTTTCATAATATGTACAAGACTTCTAAACTAAACTAACTGAAATAAACATAGCATTAAAAGGAGTGGCTTATACATCAAACAACAGGTCTAAAGAGAGTGGGAAATGGGTGAATGAATGAATACACATTAAAGCTACCGGTATTTTATAGGTGTCTAAGATAAAAGACAAATATTCATATCAAATACACTAGCATCAAATCAAATACAATACAGCACTATATGGTTATGATTATAATAATGAAGAGAAATGACAAAAGTATAAATCAAAATTCGGCACGAACTAACATCACGATTATATCTAAAAATGCGCGCGATTACACAGACTGACCAGACTCGCATCTAAAAACATTGACCAGCATAAACACATTCCTATCAACTAAACTAATATAATTAAATACATAAAAGAAATCTATAAACATTTTGACATTTCATATAGGAAGGGGCAAAAGGAGAGCACATTAGGGCTATTTTATAGGTGGGTGTGATAATTTAAATAAGAGTTATTAAATAGGTATTATGCAATATTGGCACATTTAAAATGGCGAGTAAACGCAGTGCAAAGCCAGGCAGAATCGCATTTTAAAACAATTGGATGAGCACAGCCCAATTTCTAATTTCATATCATATCAACTAAAATAACACTAATACTATAAACATTTTGGCAGGAAATGCCCTGAAAAACAACAATTCAGTACCACTTTACATATCACTAAATTACTTTACTACTATCACTAACAACGCAAAAATTACATTTTAAAACATTTTTTTTGGACTATCATAAACCCATTTCAACATCAACATACTGTGTTTATGCACAAATTACACAAAAAATATATGTTAGTAAAGAGAGGTAGGAAATATATATATATATGCACCAAGTTCGTACATGTATATACATCAGCACGAGGGAGATATTTTATAAACAAAAACCGCCGATGTATAGAACGTCGCGCGGCTGGCCAGCTTTCAAGATCTAAAATCCACTTCTCAAACCCCTTTTCAAACCTCAAAAGATCAACTAAAATAACATATGTATCATAATAAATAAACGCTAACAGCTAAAAATAGCACATCATTTCTAATAGACAATTATCACGTGCAAATGTACGTACCTGGCTGTAAAAATAAGCAGGTACACGACACAGGCCTGTAGCTGGAAAATAAATTAAGAATTTAATCGAAGCAATTCGTAAAAATCAACAAACTTACTTTCCTATCAGGGAACACCTGTCCTTCCATCTTCTCGGTACGACTTTCCCTCCAAAAATAATGTTGGCTGTTGATAAACACTCAAATGGTCACGTGATCTTAAATGTGTGAAGCGGAAAAATTTCCGGCACTCTCCGCCGTACTTCGGGAAAAAATTCGATTCTCTGACCTTTTCATTATTGAACAAGGGGGTGTCGAATGCATAGAGGTACGACAATTCTTAAGCAATGTGAAAGGGTACGACACGTGACAAATAACGTGGGTAAGAGTCGGTTTGCTTCATATAGATCTATTTGTTGCATGTTGTACATTTTGTTCGAATAATAAAGTGCACGCGGAGCAGGCCATATACTTGTGTATGAGATAGAGTTCTTTCTCTTTTCTATCATAGGCAAAACTAGACTAATTAATTTGGCGTGAATGGTTTGACCCATTTTACAGACTTTTTTTTTCTTACTGTCAAACCGTTACGCCTAATTTTAACTGTCATTTTTACGCACGGAAAATCTACCGGCAACACTATCGATAGTTTGGACTGATTTTTACTGCTTAAACCTGAAAGTAACTTCAATGTCCTCTAAAGATCAATAGAATAAAAATTCTAGTACTAACTTCTCCTAGAAAAAATATTAGATTGTACCTGTCTTAACGCATACATGCGATTTATTTCAAATTTGTACTTTGGCGGACATGTTATGACGTCATCGTAAAAAATCGATTCCGTGAAAGCTGGTAGTAGCTACCAGTGTGTCTAGCAGGTAAGTGTGGGTTACGCATGAAGATTAAATTAAAAAAAATATCGGGGGAAATAAATATATTCATTATTTTTAATAAATGTGTGCATTATTAAATACTATTGAAAAAAGACAGCGCCCGTCCAAAATTATCTCGGTGTCTCTTTGACAAGTCTAATTAGTTGGACTAAAACACGTTCCCTGTTATCACAACATGAAACCCCAGAAAAAAGTAATCAATGAACGATCATCTGAATATGATATTTCTATCGCTATCCCATTCTTTGCCGTTCCAGATAAAATGAGCCAATCAATGGACATGCTCTGGAGCGCAGGTAACTAATACCTGCATTCCAGTTAACGAAATATGCATGCATATAATTATGTACATGATTTAAGTCTGACACATTTTCAAGAGAAAGGTCCCCAAAGTATGATACACATGAAGAATATGTTTCATTGTAAGGAGAAAGCTATTGAGGTTATTTGTTTCTTCAAATGACACCAGCAACCTGACAAACATTTTAAAAGAATACAATAACAAGTATATATTACTATAAAATCAAGAGAAAAGAACGTAAAGAATTATTCGCATATATCCCACAATATTTCCGTATTTCTTACTGTACGCATGATAATTGGTTCGATAAACTAACTTTACGCAAAACTTTTGCCCCTTACGATGAGTGTTATGCATGACCGACTGATGTCTGTTCCCTGGGCTTAGCAATTAGTTACCGATATATGGTGAAAATAATGAACAATTACCTATAGCATATGCGTACGGTTATATAACACCTTAAAATATTATATAGCACTCCAAAATATTATATAGCTCTCAAAAATATTATATAGCACTCGAAAATAGACACATTTAAACTTTAGGACAGTTCATACTGGAGAAAAAGTTTTCCCGCTCTGATACTTTGAAACACTAAATCGACATATGTTTTCTCTGTGTGCGTGCGTGCGAGTGCGTGCGGTTGTGTGTGTTCTTGACAAAGCTTCATACTAAGGATTGTGGAATGTTTGTTACAATCCCTGTTTAACGAAAGATCCGTTGGACATGACACTGCACATTGGCCTTCTTTATGTGTACCATCTTGCCAGAGTTTAGTCTTAAGCTCGTATGTATGTGAAACATGTTGAATGAAAATTTTATCAAGACATTCCACCAGTTAGCCAGAAATTGAGAGAAAATATATATATATATATATATATATATATATATATATATATATATATATATATATATATATATATATATATATATATATATATATATATATATATATATATATATATATATATATATTGTATTAAGATTTTATAAGATTTTTTTTTATAAAAAACATAAACCCCAACAAGATGCTATTAAACAATAAAGTACATAGTTAGCAAAATTAACATATATAGCACGTGTATTCAAATTTAGTAACAATATATACGAAACACAGTTGAATTTTAGCACAACGAAATTGTACATCAGAACTGCAAACTATCCGCATGGATATACACATTATAGCTCTTAAGTTCACTATTGCCTAAGTTGTTTGTTCAAATCCAAAATGAAATTATATAAACTATCAAATTCTTTCTTTTGCACGCCATTGGTTTTATCCTAAAACTAACAACGGCAAAATCTGTCTTTCTGCAACATTTGTAACGCATTCTAGATAGTACATTGCACTCCCATTGACGTTTTCTTTTTTAACTCCTTTCTTAAGTTCATGGAATTAGAAACATTTTATTGGAATAAAACATTTAAGTGAAGAAGGATAAAAATTCAGTTATGATTAATAGTTTACCTATTCAATGCAAAGAAAATGTTCAAGTTTCAAACAATTGGAATTAAATGAAAATTCTGTTTCGCGTTTTCGATTAACTGCATACAATTTGAAATCATTTACTTCAGATGTGAAAAAAAGAACAGAAAGTCTACAGGGTGAATAAAAATCTTATAACAAACTTTAAACATAATAGGGAAGTTAAATCTTGAAATAAAGGTGACAAATTATTTGAGTATTTATAAGTATAAGCAAGGTAAATGACGTCAGCCACAAGAAGAAACGGTGAGAACACCGGAACTGTTCAGCATGATCCTATTAAAGATCAATTAAAGAAAATTGATAACGGTTTTAAGTAATAATTACAACTACCAAAATTTTCGAACCTTTTGCAGCGCACAGTAATCTTATCGTACCAAAACTCATCGTACAGATTAATTTTCGGACAACAAGGCGTCAATAAATATCTTTGCACAAAAGCATTTGCTATGCAACGCTATAATTAGTATTTAGATAAGTTGCAAGTAGAGCTTACATTCACGGTATGGGATCTCATCTTATCATTTTTTCACCGACACAAAATCAGTTACAGCCAATTTACCTTCCACATCTTTTTAACTATGATTTTTAGATAATATGTGTAGGTAAGAGCCCACATGATCCACGTAAAATTTGCGATTTGATAGTAAATGACTCTAGCAATTTTATAACATATACCCACGCTGACGGGTGTTAACATGCTAACATCCTCCATTACTCCGTATCGTACCTTTTCACCTCGCTTAAAAAGAATCGTACCTCTCTCTATACGTTCGACACCCCCCTAAAAATAATAATAGTCTTAACCACGCAAAGTAACGGTAGTGAAATTCACTCATCTGATAATTCGAACTGGACAGATTAGAGCCGTGTGGAGATTTATACTCTAATAAACAGATCTCAACTTTGCCTACAGCAAAAGAAACATGTGATATATTGATCGAATGTATTTGATTCAAATTACTTTGCACTGAATAGATCAGGTTATATTAGAGTAAAAACTATTCCCGCCAAAATTAAGTCGCATCGTCCTGTTGATGTGCGGCGACATCGCAATGCCAAAAGCGAATTCATTCTAGTTCTTCGAACATGATGTTGCATGACAAGGCATTGTCATTTCACTTTCAATCATTTAGGATTCTTTCTTTACAGACATTTTACAAAAATATACTTTCTTATAAAAAAACGCATGAATTCACCTTCAAAATGCGATTAATAACCAAAGTATTTCTATTTGAAAGACCCAGTAATTACACAAATACACGGTTTCCGTAGAATGTACAAAATTTACAAGTTCGTCAGATTATTAGAATATGTTGTGCAATTTTTGTAAGTCGAAAACATTATGTGCATAAAAACAAAATTGCATTGTGAAAAGTATTTTCCATTGTTTTTATACCGACCATGTAAAAGCGCGTGAATTTTGTGCAAATCGACTTTCAGAGCATGGGTACTACACGTGCCATAAATGGCATTGTGAACTACTGATATAATTGGTGGATAAAGCAGCTTTCATTTAATGTTAGACAAGCATGGAATAAGAGATAGAAAATATAAACTTCGAAATATGTAGAAGATATACTTGTTGAAAAAAAAAACAAATGTGTCAAAAATCCATTTTATTTCAACTCTTAAGAATGTCAAACATGTGTTTAATAATGGTTTAAAAATGGATTTAGAGCATATTAGGTGTTTAACAACTGAAGAAAGTTGCGCTGGTAGCAAAATGTTAACAAAGTAGTTGTTTTTTTTAAATTCCGTACAAAATACTCATTCACTATGATCATACTCCTTGTCAACAGAGCAAGAAAAGTAAAAAAAAAAGTTCATCTGGGTGGCAAATCAAGTTCTTTTCAAAACTGTAACAAGATATCAAAAATAAAAACATTTTGTGAAATAAATATGATAGCATTTCTGAGGCATAATGGGCCTTTAATTGTTTTTACTTAATTATTATTGTCTTCAGTTTATCCTCAAATATCTGTTTCGGTAAGAACTTTATATTAAGGTGGGAATTAAGAACTCTTGGGGACTCAATTTTCTCCAAAAATTCAGCAGTCTGGTGCTCGAGCATGTTCTTGGATTTACTTTTCGGTATTGTGTCTGCCCGTCCCTGGATTAACATGCACGTGATTTCTCACACCCAGTGAGTTCCTATAATAAATATATTTAGTATTCTTGGAGATAAAATTTTGAAATAATTTTGAAAATCAGATTATAAACATACCGATATGAATATCTAAATAAGAAGCATGTATGCCCCCGACGCTCGCTTTTGCAGAGTTCCTCAACGGCATAGAGATTTGTATTTATTGTCCAGTACTGGATGACAGCTAGGTCATTATATTGACATATTTGTGTGATTGCGTCAACCAACATGGTCCGTGTCTCAAGCATATCGTATAGTTGGCAGTGATTAGTAGAATGCGTCGATCGTATATTTAAATATATCTCTGTGATTATGCATATAAAATACATGTATTTACCTTTGATATAGGTGATAGGAAACTTATTTTACTAGAACAAATTCAATGGTTGTATCAATTGCTAATTCATTGTCTCGAAACTTTGGAATATATTTCTGGGTTCTGTTTGAGAATGAATGTGTTGACTAATTATAAGTCACCGACGAAATTAATAAACCATTGACTTACACAGTTTCTATGTTAAATTTCACCCGACCTGGGATTATATAATTTTTTTTCCTAAATAGCGCAATGAAGGTACATGCAATCTGTATCCGATATTTATAGTGCAAGTCTGTTTAATCTCCAAATCATTCATGACAATCATAATAATACAATGGTTTGATTCTCGTACGTATAAAAAACCATCTCAAATATGTACATAGGAAAAAGTAAGTACGTTACCCTTTGCGCAGTGAATTTCTTCGATGTAGGTGTTTTATTAAATTAATTATATGTAGAAGTAAAAATATCGAAGTCAACTGCACGTATTATTATATAAACTTTATATATTAACTAGTGTTATACAAGTCTATTATATATCTATGTCGCCACATTAGTGTGTATGTCCTAATATATAGCAATAAGTTCTGTATAGTAGACAGATGTTTACTGCTAGTATTTATATGAAAATTGTCGCGGAACTTTGATAATAGGTAGATTGTGTTTCATCTGTTGATATGAAATCGGATGATTCCGCGGACTTGTGGTAGGTCTACTTTCGGTTGTGATTTGACATTGAGCCTTTCTTCTGTCATTCGCTAATGTATCATTTTTCTCTGCATGTACAGCATATCTATTTAAGTGCCTTTGCGATATAATTAATGGCAACTAGCTGGTAAAGTGCTTGACAGCCTGCGGAAGAACGATACAGTGGATGGACTGTGCTGTGGTAAATTCAATGTGGCTTCTTCCCGTTATCCGGAGTAAAAACTATCAACATCACCATTAGCAATTAATGATTGGCACATGATTCAACCTCTTATTGAGAGAGAAGAGCATTATCCCATGTTGCCATCCAGTAAATGAGTGATCATTTTTTGACTTTGAGCATGCAGTTTTATTTTTCAAAGAATGACATACAGTAAATGATGAGGCGTAGATTATCCTGATTAATTAAGCAGCTTTAACTATATTTTTATTTTTATGTGGAAAAAACATTTAGATAATGCATTTTATGTTAATATGTAACACATAAAGTATGGACTTTAGTAAGAAATAATATAACAAAACTAGAATTTTCTCCTTTTATATTTCCTTTTGTATTTCATTACAAAACAAAATTGTATGGTTAATACTATTAATACAATCAATATAGCACGATAACATCTTTTGAATTATAACAAATAGAATACTGTTCAATTTTAACAACAGCACTCATCCATTAAATCAAAACAAAACAACAAGGGAAACAAAAATATCCAGTATGTAGAACAAAAATTTAGCATTTTGATACATGTTCAGTATTATAGAAGTTTTTTTACCACTTTGAATTTTGACCTGTGAAGCTATCAATAATTCAAGCCAATTTAATTGTCTCTATCTTTAATATAAAGTATGTCAGTTACACTCATAAATGCTGAAAACAGGGCCTTTCTATAAGAACATTTAGGAAAATCTATATTTAGCCTCTTTGTCTTTCACCTTCAGAAAATTCATATGGACCATCAACAAAGGATAGCAGTCCATTTTAGCAAGTTTCACAGCATATAGTTAAGGTATTAGTCAATAAATTCAGGTGGTATAAAGAGAGACAAGTAGGTGTAACAGAAGGAGCAAAGGAAGGACAGATGGAAGGTAAACGGTAGGATCAAACCAACAGCTATATGAATCATCAAAACAAAAAACCAAACACAAAAAAATAAAGACGATAATGGTCAATATAAAAAACAATGAATTATACCTTGTTTTATTGCTCCCTCTTTTAAGGAAAGTTAGCTTGTTCTATCTTCACAAGACACATACAAGGGCAACATCTCATAAAAAGTCCTAAGTTTATATGACCATTTTAGAACTAAGTAAAGACCATTTCAATAACAAATTGTATCTTTAGTCAAAAACTTTACACTGTTATTACATTTAACTCCATTCTTCTTAGAAATATTGAGAAATACAATGACATGCGTTTTAATCCTAATTGTCTTAATGTACATCTGCATTGCTATTGTAAGAGTCATTTCAAAGGAGTTAAATGTCGGAACGTTTTCTTTGAATCACAAAATTGTCTAAGTTTTTTCTATGAAACCAAATCCAGGCATATGTTGGATGTATAACCTTAATATCAAACAATGTTGTTACATTACATTGTTTAATTATTCAATTATCCGAATATTTTCATCAAAGCAACAAAAATCACAAAGTCTGGACAGACCCTGTATATGCTGACCTAATCAGTCCTAGGATATAAAACCAACTTAACGGACTTACTGAAGACAGTTTCAATACACATTTTTATCTTCAGTCAAATACTGTAGACTATAAATAAATTCATTCTCCTGAGAAAAGTTAAGAAATACAATAGCACACACCTTTAATTCACAGAGTTGCATTGCTATTCAGTAATTAAAAGTGTCATATCATAGGGGTCCTATTTTCTTTGAATCGCAATATTGTCACAGTTTTGGTCTTAAGACTGATTTGAGACATAGGGCTTTCTATGAAATGCAGCCCTGAAATACAAGTGGTACTCTGTAACACACACCATCAACATCTCCTGCTAGCACTAAAACAATTTGTTATATCACAGTAATTTCAGCATTAAAATAATGTTTACAGTTAAAAATATCATTTATATAAATTTACAATATTATACTTTGTACACTGTAAAACATTTTGTAAATAATTCATGATTTAACAAATATTCAATATACATTCTATAAAGGTTAAAAACCCTGAAAACATTTTCACAAATATTCAGTAAACATTCTCTAAACCCTGGATATATTTTGTAATTAATGTAATATTTCACAAATATTCAATAAACTTCCTTTAAAAATCTGAAATTTTCAAGAAAAACCCTGAAAATATAATGTATATAAATATAAAATCCGGGAAAAAATAATTTTTTTTTTTTTTTTTTTAAACTTATTTATAACAAACTTGTATATAAAAATTTGTTGTGAAAATGTGAAAGAATCTTGGATGTTAAATAAATAATAATAAATAATAAAACGGATAAATAAGTGTACATACTTTAAGTTAGCTGTATGAGACATCCTCAATTTCCACATACAGGATTTTTAAGATTTTTTTATTTTATTTCTATATTGTACATGTATCAGAATTTTGTACAATGTCATGAATTGTTCATTTAATAAAAGTAAATTAAAAATCAACAAAAATGTACCTCAGCACTTGACTGTTTGGTTTTAATTTTTTTGAATGTTAAGACTTCCTGAATCATTTTTTTTGGCTATAAAAAGAAAGTAAAAAAAACCAAAAACAATTTGAAGTAAGGATTCAGTTTCTGTCTAAACCATTCCTGTATTCTTATCAAGGTATAAAAACAATCAGCACATAATACTGAACAATTATATTATTGTTTTATTTCTAAAATGGTCATGAATTCCTATTTGAGTATACATGGAGTCATTTGTCTGCCAGACGTCCATTGGCTCGTAACCATAGTTAACGGCAGGTGTCCTATGTACACGTCTATAAATAGATGACTCTTTGTCCCTGATTCCTGGTTGGTCAAATGGAGGCATACATAATCGAACTTTGTCCAGCAGGTGTCCAGGCCAGAAATGCATTCTCGTTTGTACTGCCATGTAAATGCTGGTATCTAATTGCAAGATGTCTGCAAATAAAAATTGATAATTGATCCACATAATGGGTGAACAAAGCTCTTTGACAGATTTTAAACACAAATGGACACAACATTGAAATTGATAAAAAAACTAATAATAGATATAAATGACATGTTACAGCATTTTATTCCCTTGTTTTGTTAAAACATTTATGAAAATTACTTAAATATGCCTGCAGATTTTATGAAAATTCAAAAGTTGTTAAAATGTTTAAAAATGTTTTCAAGTGGACAAATAAATGGAAAAAAAGCTAAGCAAGGCACTTAATTTCACAAAAAAATATATTATAATATGATGGAAAAATGCCAAAAAAGCCCTTTCTAGTAATTTACAGGGTAAAAACAATATGACTTATCCAATTTTTTTTTTTAATTTCATATTTTTGCAGTTTCTTTGCTTATCTGGAGATACTAATGAAATCGTTCATAATATATGGGAGAAATAAAGTCAGGAAAAAACAGCTGAATTAACTCAAATCACTAAATTCCATCTTATTTAATACAAAACTGTACATTATATACTAGTAATATTTGTCCGGTTAATTGTGAATGTAAAATGAGATATCAAACTTTTTCTAATGCTGTATATGTATGCACTTCCTTGTGTAGGAATTCAAACATACTGAATAAACATTTAAGTATCATATACAAGTTACTTTTGTTTGTGACAACATATATACTGGTAACAAAAAATTTCTAACAAAATGACATTCTGTAAGCTAGCTGGATAGCTTCCTCACATGAAAGAATCCAAAGTCCCTGTCTGGATTCAAACCCACAGCGGTTAGGGGCAAGTGGTCAACAATTAGAAGGTAAATAAAGGTAACATTTACTTGGTTAGTTTCTCATATTGCTCGAAAGTCATCCAGCAGTCCACTCTTCTTCTAATAACAGCACGTCCAGTTGACAAGTTTTGTTTGTAAGCATCTGCAGACACGTTTTTACTCATAGGATATTTATGTCTACTGTCAATCAGAAGTTTACCGCTCTTTGACCTCCGAACTTTGTCTCTGTGCTTTACCTGAAAACCATAACATTTAAATACATCCCGATGTATAATAACTATGAAAAGAGATCTCCTGCTCTAACAGGCAGTCAGGGTTATTGCCTAATAAAATGGGTAGGAATTTATATTACCAGTAGAAATTCGAACTTTGAACATTTTTAGTTAAAATCTTTTGAATGTCTGTAACAATTTTTAAATTATCATTTTTAAAAAAATTAAAAGAAATAAGACGGACAATTGCTTAAGTTAAGTTATTTAAAATAATATTACTGATTTTAAAATTTTTTTCACTAATGTTTAAATTTTGCATTAATTGTTTGTTTCTTTAAAAATTTTGTAGATGAACATTTTTTACATAGCAATGAAGGGAAATTCAAATTCAATAAACCTGAGAAATTTCTGTAATTTTGCATGAATAAGAGCCTTTGAGGATCACACTCATCTACATTTCTTTTTACCCTGCACTGTCAAGTTCATATACTTTTTTTTTTCAATTCAGTTCAGCTGAAAGCCAAACAATGACTGAAATCAAGGTGGCAGAGGAAGACAATAAACTTCTGTTCTTACTCTTGTTTTAAAAACCCCAGTCCAAGAAACTATATATTATCTGGCATTCTTAAATTTTAAGGTAAAGCATTATATGTACCTCTATTGGAGTTCTTGGTCTTTTTGGTGGATCAGCAAAGTGAGAGGACACAAGTGGTGCCGAGTCTGGATGTCTCAATTTACGTAAATCACCATGTGGTTTATCACCAGGATACAGTAAAACTGAAATTTTTAACAACTTATTCAATTATTTAATGTACATATTATAAATGTGCAGTATAAAACATTTAATTGGCAGCACAGTAATGTATAATCATGTAAATAAACAGACATAAAACATATTTCATCATAAAGGAACACATTTCTAGATCAGTTCAACCAAAAAAAAAATCAAAGATGACATATTGCAAGGCCATCTATTTACTGCATACATGTTAATACCTGTTTATCATCATGACTTTTGTGACCTTACCTTGACACTCCTAGCTTGCTTGCAGTGAATGAATCTATCATTATGCAGACCAAAATCAGACGGCACATCCCTGCTGTCTGATCATAGTCTGCACTTTTCACTATTCAATCAGTACAGACAGTGCTTAATTTTAAATTATCCCTTAAAAATAATAAATGGTTTTGTCCAGATTAAAAGATGGATAAGTCTATGCAACATATATTAAGGGTGATACAGGTTAATTAGTACGATTGACAAACCTACCTTAAATTTAGACCTGACTTTATATTCTCTGCCTGTGGGCATTAAACTAGACCACTATCACTCTTAGGGTGATATTCTTTAAAATATAATCTACGTTATAAAAAAATCTAAATAATAAATATACATAAAAAATCAACTGGACTGCAGTCTAACAGAATAACTTATGACAAAAGTATTGAACAAAATACTTTGGTGCAACAAAAATGTAATATAACTTTTTAAGGAAGTTATAAATTATGTACATTTATAGACAAATTGAGATCATTTACATAAATGTACTATTTTATATTATATGTAAAGCTCTGATAAAATTATGGCAAATATGCATAATTCAGTCAAACAAAATAATTTCATTATTTAAGTAAATGGTCAGATTAAGAAACAACATAAATGCAACACAACATATCTAAAGAGTACAGTACACTCAATATCAAAAATACATACATTTGTAACTTTTTGAATCAATGCAATGCTTATCTATCAAAATGCATGGTGATAAAAAATACACTGTTAACTATCTAAGATGCTGGTAATTGGAAATCCATAATGATACATTCATTTTCATCTCTATAAATGTGCAAAATGTTCAGTATAACCTTATTTCAAGATTAACACTACATATAAATATCCTTCACCCACCCTTAGTCTGCTGGAACCTAAATTAATCAGTCTTTGCCAACAGTATAAAGCCAGGCCAGCCAGAACATGCAGTCTGACAAGTCTATATCCTTTTTCCTCACTGACTTTAAATTTTCATCTTGAAATCTCCAAAAATGTAAGCTTGAGTGTTCTAAAATGGAAGCTGTACCAGCCTATTTAAGAAATTCAACTTGTAATAGTTTTTTTTTATTTTAATTTTTTAATGGACATGCCCTGTTTTTAAATCTAGAAATGTCCATTGTTGTTTTAAGGTGTTCAAATTTTCAAAGAGCAAAAATTGACCAAGTGTACTCAAGTATATGGAAAGTATGTGGTGATGGCTACGCTTGAGTCTTTATATTATAGAGTGATTGCATTAACAAGTCATTATTGTTGCAAGCATGCACTCAAAGAGTTGAAAAAGCTTTCTTCTAAAATTAAATTATGCTTTTGAATTTAAAACACAGATCTTTATGTAAGTAAATTTTCCTCTATTGTTATTGGCCTAAAGTACATATGTAAGAAGGCAATGCAATGTACATGTACTAAAAGGACAAACAGCTCTGTGAAACATCAACTGTCAACATATTTTACAACAATAAAACAGCACACAAAACAAGATAAATTTCAACATTCAGTTGCATGTCTAGGTTGACAATATATAACTGTGAATCAATGATAAAATATTAAACTTTGATCAAATAAATTTACCTCATCATATTGAACTCCTTGAAATAATAAAGTTTATATGAACATGACACCAATATAAAATAAATGTTAGTAAGAATATAAGAAAGCATACCGATAGATATGTTTAAAATATCCATTAAAATTAATTAAATTATTAAAATAACCATTGATATATTTACTACTTTTTTGGTATTTGAAGGATTCAGAAAATATCAAACTAAATTGATATCTCAACATCAAGATCTGAATGGATATGGACTGTACCTTGCTTAGAAGTCAGGAATTTCAGAAAAGCTAAGGACATGTAATTAGAGTGGGATATAAAATTAATCACTTCATTTAAAGCTATATTTGTAAAGTGAGAGACAGAAAATTTATTTCAATACATTGATAATCATTTCTTAGCATAAAAATAAACAGTATCTAATTAGAAGTCACACTTTCTGTTTGTCACCACTGAAATTATTATCCATTTAATCTGAATCTGCTGTATAATAAAAACATTACAGATTCACAAAACTCATCCCAGGTTACTCAAGTTAATAAAAATCAAATACCTTTTGACTTAAATAGGTCTCAAATAGAAAACTATTAACCATAATAAGTAAAGAGTGAAGAATTAAAATGTAGAAGTTACCTTTCTCAAGAAGTTGTTTTGACAGGACAACATCGTTATCCTGACAAAGTTTAGTAATCTGAAAGTATTCTTGAAGTCGTTTCTGACGGAACTTATTTGTCATTTCTCCAACATCACCAATCAGTGTAGACTGCATACAGTGGTCATCTATTGCCTTATTTCCTGTCAATATTGTCGGTGGTACACCTTCAATCTGTAATTAGAGACAATGAGGTGTGAGGATAATGTTTCATAGCATAATTACACTGGAGAACTGTATAGATACATGCTTTCAAATCTCTAGTGTGTTAACAATTCAACTTTATAATCTAGATGTTTTCCCCAAAAGCATCTATCTGTTTTATGCTTATACTTATAGGCTCAATCAAACCAAGCCTGTAACATTTTCAATTTTTAACATTTTGTGCTTTTCCTTGTTTAAGGTTTCCAGTTTTGACCATTTTATACATTGGCATGGTCTGAGGAGTGAAAAAATACACAAAACTTTACATTGTGTCTTAGACAGTGATTTTGTCCCCTGTATTTTACAGCCAACCCTAGCCCAAAATAAGTATATTTTCCCCTAAAATGCCCTATGTACATTCTTCATTTAACAGCAGCTGACTTATATCAGCTAGAAGACAGAAAGCTGTCCCTATAGATAGCCTCTGCTGTGTACCATGCATGTTAAATTGAATTGAAATTCTCAGTTGTCAGAATTTGATTTTCCCAATTTCTGATTTATTGCTGTATATTTTCCCCTTCAGAAAGCCACAGGACGAGGTTGTTTTGAAAATTGAAAAAAAAAAATCACTGGTCTATAAATCTTCTAAAAGATAGAAAAGATATGAAGAAAACCCTTATGAGAAGAAAGACCTTATTATTAAGCTATGAAAGGAAACTTGTGTTGCATATTAACTTTAATAATGATAAAGAAATAATAATACCGGTACCTTGGCATTATAACCTTTCAGTGCCTCTCTATCATGTTTTCGTAAATCTAACATCGCCTCATCTGATCCTAGTATCATACGATCTGGTTCCTTATCAATAAGGGGCGGCTCCAAGTACGGTGAACTAGTTTTTTCAGATCTCGGTCGAGACACGCCCTTGTCAGAATCAGATTTTACACCTTTACTTCCTCCTGATATCACAGACTGGTTATCCTGTTTTGAGATCTTTGAACCAAAAGATTTATTTGTGGATTTATCAGACTGGTCCATTTTATCAGAAGGTTTTCGTGATTTTGTTGAATTACTAGTATCAGTGTCTTTAATAACTGGGATAGAACTTGTATTAGAGACTTGACTTTTACTGGAATCTTTTGTATCTTTTTGTTTGTTTGATAATTTTGCTGAGTTAGATTTACTGCTTGATGCAGACCTGCTTTTAACAATAACTTCAGCTTTAATATCGTTAGCACTTCCCTGCCTTGAGCCTGCAATTTATGAAACATGAAATAGGTAACAATAAAGAAAAAATTGAAAAAAAAATATATATCTTGCTTATAGCTAATAGTAAGATATAACTGTCTTGTGAAGTTAGGTCAACAAGTTTTGTGTTATTAGCGATAAAATCATTATATTCAGAAGCTGACTGAAGTCACATAGACTGTCAGAAACTTCTGTCTGACTGACAAAGTTGTGAAAGGTATAATTATGACCACGTATCAATAAACTTCGCTTCTCAATGGGCTGATAACTAACCAGTTGTCTTAAACTGACCTGTTCAAAAATTGCTGAAAATTTCTATTTTGTCCAAAATCAGGTGTCAATAATAATTGACTATTGTTGCCCCTCACTGTTCCCTACTCAAAAATTATCCAACTTTCCTAATATGAAACATATTAAAAAGAGGATATTTGCTTGTTCTGCATGTAAGATCGAAATGTATTTCACTCAGTGGATACCAGATGCAATATTTTCAAGAGTGGCATAGCCATGAGTGAAAATATAATAGCTGGTGTTCACGAGTGAAACATAGTTCAATCTTATATGCAAAACAAACAAATTTTCTATTTATTTCATGCTTTTTTTTAGTGATTTTAAGTCATTTTTACTTGTTTTGCCGCATAACGTTATGCGTTCCTCTTGATGACATCATTGTACCAATGATGGAATTTAGCTCTGTAAAATTTCTTGAATTTTGTTACATTTTTAACACAATGTATGAAGTTATTTACTTGCTTCTCCTAAAGCAAAATTTACATTTAGTTAACATTATGAAATATTATTTTCATTTGCATTTAAATATAGTTCGTCTACAATGAATATTATCAAATATAAATTCACTGTGAAAATTACCAAATATAGTTTCACTTTCCACTGCAAAGCATGTAATAATATGAAATATTATATGTTATAACTAATATATTATGATACCTGATCTGAATGACAAACTTGATGATTCTCGAGAAATTTCCTTTCGTCTATCTTCTCTTTTTTCTTGTCTAGCCACTTTCATTCCTCGCGCCATTTCTTTATAGTCTAACTCCTCATCAAGGTTCATATCAAGTGAGATAAGCATATCTTCAAGAAGACCTCGGGATATTGGAATGTTTCTCTAAAAATAATATGAAATATCATGTAATTTATTGTTTCAAGCAGCTTATTATAAGGAAAATATTAAGTCAATTATAAGTGATCAACCTTTTATACACTCAATATACACACGTAGTTCAGATTTATTGCAAATAAAAAATGAATGTTCTTAAATTAGACACTTTTGAGCCAAATTTAGCTCCATAAGAATTATATTATTTTGAGATCCGTTACTGCTTAAAACCTTCAGTTCATAACTGATTTATCCAAGAAGCTTATTCAGAAAATATGAAAATCAGATTCAATCAGATCTAACTTGTATATAAATCACCAATATATACCTCTTCACAGCTTTTGATGAATTCATCTCTAGATATTCTCCAGTCTTTATTTTTATCTGTAGATGTGAACAAATCAATCAGACGAAGTTTTTTCTGCTTTAGATGATCATCAAGTATCTTAAGACCAAGAGGAGCTGGTATCTTTAAATGTGGTAAAATACTGGATTCCGAGTCGGGCGTATACTCGCGAGGGATCAAGTCTGGTGTTTCTGTAATTTCCTCTTCTTCAGTAATTTCTTTACCTTCCATTTCTTTAAGTTGTTTCAAAACACGTTTTTCTAGAACAGTCTTGTTGGGTTTGTTAGATAACCAATCAGAATTGAGGCCCATATTCTCTAAGTCATTTCTGAATTTTTGTCTCTCTTTAAACCATGATTTATATTTATCCTCTCGTTCACGAGCTTCTCTAGCCAAAACTAATTCTTCTGGTTCTGGTTTGACTAACGGAGGTTGTGGTTTGAGCTCATTGTTTAATTTTGGTGCTGGCGGCGGAGTTTTTCTATCTGCATATAAACCAAGTCTATGTTTGATAGGCAATTCCATTGGTGGCGCTACCATCACTCTTTTACGACTAAGCGGGCCTCCAAAAATTTTCACAGCAGCTTTGTAGTGTTTAACATGTGCCAAATCCCTGTGTTCAAACTCTTCCATACGTTTCTTCTCAGGAATATGATCCAGATTAAACCGGTCAAAGAGGCGAGCCATTGGAAAACTAATGTCCTCATCCATAAGGTCTGTGACAACATTGTTGTTGCCTCTATTTCTGCTGTGACGCATTTTTGATGTTGTTTTTTTTTGTTCTTGTTTCTTCTTTAATCTGCTTCTTTTAACTCATGGATTCATCATCAATTCTATAAATAAATGAAATGATCACTGAAACAATATTTAAAGGGACTCCACTGAGCTTTTTGACATGACGGGACTGGAAATAACTTTTTGAGATTATTACTCCACTTGATGTAGATCTATACTAATAACTTATGTGCAGAATTTCATATCATTAGCTTGCTTTGTTTTTCCAGAATAATTATTATAATAGTGAAAAATGACCCAAAATTGAAAAGCGTTTAAATGATTTTCACTCAAACCGGACTGAGAATAGCACAAACATATGATTTTCAATGTATTTCTTGTATATTTCTTAATTATATTTTATTTATATTTCTGTTTTAAGTGCTCTTGTTTATCTATGTGAAAAATTAAAATTTTATGTTTTTAGGCTTATAAACCTCAGATGAGTTCCTTTAAGTATGGAATTTATATAGTTCATTACCATTATTTGTTGCAAAGTTTGTTCTGTTTGTTTGCAAAGTTTGTTCTGTTTGTTTAAAACTACAGGTTTTGTAATTTATCAATAAACTTGCTTAGGATACCAATAAGTAAGAATATAAAGTAAAAATAATCCTCACAAATATGAGCATCTGCACATTACAAAAGATGAATGAAGTTATTAAACAATGCCCTAGTTCTACCACAAGTCTTTTTCTACTTTAATCACTATTACAGTTTGTTTGTTTGTTTCATTTTACGTCTTTTCCCAACAGTATTTCAGTCATATAGGCGGGTAGTTTCCTAACCATTGTTCCTGGAAAATTACACCAGTACTAGACTACCTTCCTCTACCTTCCTCAGTGCTAAACTACCAAAGCATCTCCTGGGGATCGAACCTACGCTAGAGAGGTAACTGGATTAGAAGTCATCGACTCTAACCCCTCGACCACGGAGGCGGTTCACTATTACAGAGTGATAGTGATAATGTTTGATGTGTTCTTTGAACAGGCTGGTGAAAATGCTTGTTCTGGCTTATGACATAAAAAAAATCATATTTCTTAAAAAGTAATAAAGACATATCTTAAATTTTGCTTGTTTATGGAGCATAATATGATAAAGGAAAGAAAAATATTTGATTACTGTCACTTTTAAGAGAAATATTTCCCCTTTTTCATGTTTTTATAACACATAATCTTTGAAGTCCTTAAAAAATAAGGTACATATAAAAAGATTAAAACAAAAAAGGTTAAATGACTTCTTTATGTTCTAATTCATTGCGCCAACACAGGTCAGCATACATTCATTCAGTTTTCAGAGAAAACTTCAAAGTTTAATGTTAAGTCTCAAAGAATTGTAAAAAAACAAATGTCAGAAACAGAATACTTAATCCAAATATATAGAATGAAGGTACTGGTGCAATAATATTGGGCAAAATGAAGCTGTTGGACACATTTCTATTAAGAATTATACATCGCAACATAATTTTTATGAACTTCAAATATTTGGTTTCCTGAAAATGAGAAAAAGGGAAATAATTCTAAGAAAATAAAAGATAGCCAAAATATTTTTATTTTGATTTGTATCATATATAAATGCTTAAAAAACAAGTCAGAAAAACCAAATTGGGCATTTTCACCAGCCTGCTGAAATGAGTTAAAACTTGGCACTTAGTCAATAATTGACATACCAAGTTCACAATAGCTATTTTAAACATGTTAAATTAACACAAAACCACAAAATATTATGTAATTTAAGTGTGCTGAACCAGTAGTTCCACAAACCTTTTTGCCTCCTTCAAACAGTGTTAAATGTTGTGATAATTTAAAAGTTGTTCTACAGATTATAATCTTGATAAATTGATTTTTTATATTTTTAACTTTAGATACGTCAACAGGCTGGTGAAAATACCCGATCAGGCTTATGACATAAAAAATCATATTTCTAGAAAAATAATAAAGATATTTCTTTTAAACTTTGTTTGTTTATTCAGCATAATGTATAACATAAACAGACAGAAAAATATTTGGTAACTGTCACTTTTGTAAGAATTATTTCCCCTTTTTCATGTTTATATAACATATAATTTTCCAAGTCCTTAAAAAATATGTTACATATACAAAGTATAAAACAAAATAGGTTAAATAACTTCTTTATGATCCAATTCATTGCGCCAACACCTGTCAGCATACATTTCATTCAGTTTCCAAAGAAAACTTCAAAGTATAATGTTCACTGTCAATTTTAAAGAAATGTCAAAGTATTTATGCCAGAAACAGAATATTAAATCCAAATATATAGAATAAAGGTACTGGCGCAATAATCTTGAGCAAAATGAAGATGTTGGACACATTTCTGTTAAGAATTTTACATTGCAACATATTATTTAAGGACTTCAAAAATTATGTGTCATCAGGGTCTTTAAAAAAGAATGGTCTGGAAAGACGCTATGTAAACCCTTCTCTCTACAATTAAACATGTCTCGGCAGAACTAGGTATAGTTTACTATGCGCAAATTAGGTAAGTGTTCAAGAAAAAGGCAAAAATTAAATACACAAGCAAAAATGAAAATTCTAACAACATGATGTTCTTTAAAAATCTTTAATCTCATAAAAAAGGATAAATATTACAGAAAATAATGTTTTTTTAAAGCCATATCTGTTGAAAAACATAGATTGCTTGTTCAGAAAATTTGCCGATAAACGGCGCCATTTTGAAAATGCACTAAATGAAACATGAAATTTTTGTAAATAACATCTTGAAAGATTATAAACTTTTTACATGATACGATTAAATCACATGTTTTCTCTGTAAAATCGATTTCTATTTTCCCATTAAACAATTCATAAATTAAGATTTTTTTTTATAAAACTCGGACCTATTTTCAAATAAAAGCAGTTAATTTTTACCTTGACACCGGGAACGAAAAATTCCCAATTTCATTGCAAATCTATAACTAGGGCTGGGGAGAGTATCCGAGTACTCGGATAATCTCGAATCAAAGTGAAAAATCGAGTTTGAATATTCGTAAGCCCAGAGATCGTTGATCGCGATCTAATTTGTTTATATACATTCACTGTTTCTCACATTCTTTAAATCGAAAATAATACGATTTGAGTATAAATTATATGAAGTTAACCTAAATACAATTTGCCGGTTAAAGACCATGTACCATGATGCTGAGCTAGGAAGTAATTGGTTTCAAAAAGACAAAACAAAAATACTCATCCAAAGAATAAAAACATAAACCTAGTTTATATTTTATATGTTTAATGTTTAGTATTGTAGTTGTTTTTAAATAAACATGTTTTTATATCTAATGTACTTGTTTTATGGGTGTCTTGATAACAAAAGATTTGTGGTTCGATTTGTGAACCGTAAGTGCGGAATCGTGGTTCGGATCGGATCGTCACTTATCCGACGATCCACACCCCTATCTATAACATTACTACTTTTTAAAGAAAAAACTAATAACGTAATATAGCCATGATTAGTTTTCAGTGATGTTTTGATAAATCTAACAAAACATTATCTCAAAATTGGATTTTTTAATGGTGATGAACTATGCCAGGTCAAGGATGGTAGAAAACCTAATCACATGATTCAACCGAGACATCTTTTTTCGTAAAATTGGTCCGACTCCAGACCATTCTATTTGAAAGACCCTGGTGTCATATAGACATGAAAAAGGGGAAATAATTCTCACAAAAGTGACAGTAACCTAATATTTTTCTTTCTGTTTATGTCAAGATACAAGAAAATTTATTTTATGTCGGATACATTAAAACAGAAAATACTAGCTCATGAGCTATTTTCAGACAAACACTAGTATATGAACTAAACAAAAGTAAAGCAGCTAAAAAAAATATAAGCATATGCACATTTAAGTACATGGAATTAAGATATTATATTACCATAGCATGCTTAAATACAAGCAAGATAATACAAAGAACAGGTATATATATAAATGTACATACCTGTAAAAGATATATAATAGATATAAAAAAAGACATATATAAATAAAACAGGGAAATTACAAGGACTATCACATAATGCAAATAATAGTAACACTAACCCAGCAAACACCTGACGTTGTTTCAACGTTGGATCAAAGTTGGATATATGTCACGACGTCAAAATCCTAAATACAACGTTGAAACAACGTTGTATTTGCGACGTCGTATCAACATGTTGGAATTACGTCGGTAGGACGTCAGATTTCAGTGAAATCTAACATAGTAGTCTTGATTGAGTTACTACCCTTTGTTCTTATTTATAAACCAGATAGGTGGCTCTAATTTCAGTTCAAGATAATCAATCGAATTTTGTTACTTATTTATTTTTTCATTCCATTTTTTCATTTGTATTTTTTATTATATTTTTTTGTTATAATAGACCCTAAAAAGGGGCAAAATTTGTATTTCAAATAAATTGAAAAATAATGGAAACTTGATAAATTTCAAAACGAGGCTACAACAACAACTTGTTTTCAAATTCAAACAAAGACAAAGGAAATTACAGACACTTTAGAGGACAACTGGCATAGTGAAAAGTAAGTGAATATTTTTGAAGGTAGATTTGTATTAAATTTACTGCATTTTTAGTAAAATAACTGAAACATAATTAGTTACATTATATATAGGAATATATATTTTCTTTATATACAAATAACATTGTATTTGATTAACGTAGTCTGATTCGCCTACAACTAACTCGTACTTTGGGATTCAAATGATACATAAACTGTATGGAATTCTGTCAAAATTTTTTGTTTTATTTGTGTTGTTTTCATTTTATGCCAAGATCCCTACATGACCTTAATCTCTCTACTTCTATTTATCAGATTAGTAGGTATTTCACCACAACGTATTTGTTAACAAAGGAACACATGATTTAATCTATTGTTATTCAAATAGATCTACATGTAAAGGGTCAAAGTAGGGATCTATCAATTCATATTGTCAAAGTAAATAACTTTTTGTCAATAATCATAAGATTTTTCTTTATTTATAGACTGACACTAATGTTTGATGACAATTAGCTGAGAGGAATGTATATATTTATATACATGAAAAACAGTCGACAGAAAACACAATTTGGACATAAAAGAATGATTAGGACATCATATGTAATATATGGATTTTGATTTTGTTGACAAAATTAACTGTTAATATATAAAAAGTAAAATAATTACGGAAATGTCTTATTGAATTCGCACATTAAAATGTTACTGTTATGCAAATATCTTACATTTGAAGTTATAGTTTTTGAGAGTTTAACATCATCAATCGACATTTCATTTATGATATGCTAAGGTTATCTATGGGTAAAAAATATATTAATATTATATTATTGATATAAGACCATTTTGGTTATTATGTACATATACTTATTTCTGTTTCTTTTTTTTGCAGTTTCAAGAAAGAAAACAAAACAAGTGGAACCTCAAAACAAGTTTTTGCATGTTAATTAGACAGTGTTTTCGTACAGGATCCAGTGGTGGACGTTTAGTATACCAGAATTATTCACATGGAGGAGTATATCTCCAAATTTTATACTTTTAAGTTAGTTTTAGAAAGATGAAGATAAAAAAATTACTTACTTTCTTTCAAAGTGAATATTTATTGCCTTGTATGTTACACTTAATTTTGACAGAAAGAAATATTTTCCCACACTTATCCGATTTTATTAGCGATGAAATCAACTGCAGAAGAAACGTTTAATCTCCATGATTTCCATAAGATCTTTAACAGAAAATCCGTTTTAAGCATGTTGTAAATATGAATACTTTGCCATAATAGACAATGAATACTGCACACCTTTAAATGAAAATGATTTGTTGACTAATGATTGTTAAAATTTTGGAGTGTATACACAATGTGCATTATTGTATTGACTGAAAGCGGTCTTATAAATGTTGAACTTAAATTTAAAAAAGAGATGTAGCTCCAATTGTTTTTAATTTTGATAGTTTATATACATTTTAAATATCAAACTTTATTTAACTATCACTATAAATGATTAAAAGTGAGTCCTTTTTTTTGATGTTATACATATGTGTTGGCAATATATATTTATAGTAAGTTTTACATGAATAGACAAATCAGATACTGTGTTATACATTTTGTTTAATTGTCTTTATACTTTATTCAAATAATAAAATCACTTTTCCAGTATAGAAAGTTTTGTTTTTTCTCTTTATTTGGAATTATTTCATGAAAATGGGTCGGATTTATGTTAGGAATTGGTTGATATTACGTTGGAAACTAGTTTGTATTACGTCAGTTACTGGTTGGAATCATGTTGGAAACTGGTTGGATTCACGTTGGGAATAGGTTGGAAAGTAGTTGTATATACGTTACATAGAGGTTGGATTTATGTTATTTATGACGTTGGATTGACGTCGGATTCTGACGTCTAAAAAAACTTTCATATACAACTCAATTTCAACGTCCATCCAACGTCGGACTCTAACGTCTGAGCAACGTTGATACAACGTCATGTGTTTGCTGGGAAGCATTTATAGGTATAACTTTGTCATATATTATGCTCAATAAACAAACAAAGTTTAAAAGAAATATCTTTATTATTTTTCTAGAAATATGAGTTTTTTATGTCATAAGCCCGATTAGGCATTTTCACTAGCCTGGCAAACATTACTTATCATAAGAATTAGTACGAAAGGATCGAAGAACGAATTTCTATTTGATTTCGTACTTTTTGCTTATTTTACTCAATTTGACCAAAAACAGGGCAAACTATAATGGACACAAATAAGATAAACTTTTTATAAACTTAAGAAAGCATTTATAAATATTCAAACCGGTTCATTAATCTGTTATTCGGAGAATAATACCAGCAACTCATTTCTGGTTGCGCTGGTAAACATTTTCGGAATACCTTTACTTTTATCAGCGGCTCTTCAATTAGGAGATTTTACGGGAGAAGTTGTAAAACAGGGTAAAGATTTTCTTTCTGTGCAATTGTAAATAATTTGTCAATCTGGAATTGTTGCAAGTATTGAGAATTGAATAACATAACGAATCATATTTCTTATTTACATGTGTGTCATTTATGCAAACCCCTTGTCTTATTTTTCATTTTATAAACAAATGCTATTCGGACAAATCTATTTCGGATAAATATATTCATAATTTAATGTTTTATCTCAGCATTCCGGTTTGTCTTCTTTTATTTTACATAGCACAAAGTATATAATAATGATAAAAAATAACTGAATATATATATTCCACATATATATCTTTGTTTGAAGTATAACTTCAACAACAATGTTTAACCTTCACAATATTGATACTGCATCACAAATATATATACTGATGTTTGCTGGGTAACAAGTATTATTACCTTCCATAACTTTATATGTCATTTTTAACATTTTTTTCTTTCATGAAATACATCTGTTGTAGCATTAAATGTGGGTTAAAGCTGAATACCTTAAGCTAATATAGTAGTAACATGGAGTTTATACATTGTATAAATTAGTATTTGTTTATACATGTAGAAAGGGGGATTGGACAGTGTCTAGTGAGCCAGGTAGGGGTCATAATTTAAGAAGGAATTGGCACTGCAACTAGTCTGTGAAATATCTTATAGAACATCAGAAGTCTGGTATCAATCCTGTTTTCATGGCAGAGCCGCTATAGTTGACTTGATATGTTTATGACACTTCTGTGAGGAGAGAGTAGTCCCTGGTGACCCTTTGGGCTGCTCTATGCTGTACCTGTTGTATATGTTAACTATGTATTGGGACTCCAAACTGAGCTATAGTACTAACAAAGGTTTTATAGGCAAACTGTCTAATATTTCTTGTTTTGTCAGAATGTTTTGTTTTTATGAAGTTTTAGTAGCTGTTGAGGTGATTATTCCAGGTTAGGTCAGAAGTGATGTTTACACTGTAATAATTTACTTTTCTAAGTGTTTGACCATGTACATGTAGTGTGTAAGTTGAATCATGGTGGTGTTATGATCTGGTGATGTTTACTACTACACATTTAGATAGGTTGAATTTCATATTCCTAATCCTATATAATAGGAATTAGTAATTAAGTTTTTTTTAAAGGTGCATAAAGCTCAGATTTTTACCAAGATTTTTACCACTGAATTAATGTTTATATAGAAATTCTTGTTTCAAGGTACAATTAGTTCTTGCTTTCAAAACTTAATATTCCACATTTTAACAATTTGTTCTTTCTACTACTGTGGCATTAAATCCTGGCACAGTACAAGTTTGGGTATACTGAAAACCTTTAAGCTAGAATAAGATAAAATGTGTTATTATCAATGTCTGTAGTGATGTTACTATGATCAAATATTTAGTGTTGAAATTGACAACAATAAGTTATGCTTACAGCAGTCAGAGTCACCACAGTAAATTTCTCATCTTTTGGGCAGTTTTATTGCTGGTGTTTTATTTTCTTTGCAGTGTTTCTTAACAATTGTATGAAAGGTTTATAATGTAATGTAATGTAGCAAAGAAGGTGAAAAGACAATGACAGCATCAGTTAAGAATTTTACATGTGGGTATGATATATTGAATAATTTGCATTCCTTGCATATAAGGATTAAACTTTTATTTAAGTTTAATAAACTAAGGATCAATTAATTTTACTTATTTCTAAAGTTGGTCTGGCTTGAGTATTTTTTTATTTCAGGTAAAGATGGCAACGTGGAAGTTGCTGTTAAAGACTACCTTTGTTGTTGTTCCTGTAACCATAACATTCACAGATGTAGTAGCCAGTTTTAGTAAGGTTATAGGAGTTTCCATGCAGGTAAATTACATTTTAGATTCATGACCCTTTACCTGTTTGCTGCATTGATAGGACTTTTAAGACTTTCAATGAATTTTTCAAGTAAAGAAAGTCAGAATTTGTTAAAGGGCTTTAGGCATAAATCTCTTCAGAAATGTTAATCTATTGATTAATTATAGTGAGTATGTGAATCATTTATATTCTTGAGCATGTAAGTTAACATTAAGAAAATTTGAAATATTATACACAGTTTTTTTCATAAATTGGCTTTTGAGCCCATTGAAGGGTCCAGGACAAAAAAATTATATTAGCAATTATTTGGAAATTGAGGCTTACTGTCTTGTAATCACTTAACAATAAACCAGTGTGTTGATGTTTTTAAAGATTCTTTTAGTTAAGTACAAAACATTCTGTCTCCCATATGTAATTCAGTACCAAGTGGCATATAGTTTTTAGAAGGACTATTTCAAGAATAGAGAGAGCTATTGTACTCATTGAAGTCACACCTCAGTTAAGTTTTTGCATGCAAGTTGATTTCTCCAAAACTACTGGAAGGGAATAGGTTGAAACTTCACAAACACTTTTTCTCTTTGATAATCTAACATGATAGGCATAGGTTCCATAACTCTGAGTTACCTTTTAACAGATTTATGCCTCTTCCCTTACTGTTTAATACTGAGAATAGTCAAGCGCATTGTCTTACTAACATACAGCTCTTGTTTATATTTCTTTCATGTTTCAGCCATTATTGAACCCTGATTGTAATAGAGGTCAAAATGACTGGGTGTTACAGAACAGATTGGCAGCAAATCAAACTTTACAAAGAGGTGATATCATCACATTCATGTAAGTTTATCAATCTACTTTCTCCCCTTTTGTTTGTTGACAATGTATATGAGAACTGTAACACAGTGTTGCAATGATGAATTAAAAATCATGGTATACTGGTGTGCTTGAATATGCAAGTCATAAAAAAAAGAAAGTTTATAATTTATTATGAGAATTTTTGTATCACATGTGTAGATCCATATTCTTTGTATATTGTATTGTATGTTGCTGTATTCATGTAGCAATGTTTTAATTGGAACATTCTTACAAAGTTTTTATTTTAGCTTAAACATCATGTTCCATTTAGGGTTTAGTTCCAATTATGGGCCATTTGTTATCCCCCGCCGATGGAATCGGGAGGGGGATATAGTTTTGGCGTTGTCCGTTCGTCCTTCTGTCCGTCCGTCCATCCATCCGTCCGTCCGAATTTCGTTTCCGGAGTAGTTCTCTGCAAATAATGGCTGGAATTCAACGAAACTTTATGGGAATGTTGATGAGCATGTGAAGTTGTGCACCTGGGTATTTTCGTCTGGATATTTTTAGTATTTTTAGAGTTATTGCCCTTGACTCAGTAAAATTTTGTCCGAATTTCGTTTCCGGAGTAGTTCTCTGCAACTAATGGCTGGAATTCAACGAAACTTTATGGGAATGTTGATCAGCATGTGAAGTTGTGCACCTGGGTATTTTCGTCTGGATATTTTTTAGTATTTTTAGAGTTATTGCCCTTGACTTAGTAAAATTTTGTAATTTTTAACTTGTTTCGCATGTAACTCAACAAGTATTTGACCTAGAGTCATGAAACTTTACAGGAATGTTGATCAGTATGTGTAGTTGTGCACCTGGGTATTTTCGTCCGGATTTTTTTAGTATTTTTAGAGTTATTGCCTTTGACATAGTAAAATTTTGCAATTTTCAACTTGTGTCGCATGTAACTCAAAAAGTATTTGACCTAGAGTCATGATACTTTACAGGAATGTTGATCAGTATGTGTAGTTGTGCACCTGGGTATTTTCGTCTAGATTTATTTAGTATTTTTAGAGTTATTGCCCTTGACTTAGAAAATGTTTGCAATTTTCAACTTGTGTCGCATGTAACTCAAAAAGGATTTGACATAGAGTCATTAAACCTTATTGGAAAGTTGCTCAGCATATTTAGTTTGTTCCCGGGGTTTCGTTTGTGGATTTATCCAGTATTTGTAGAGTTATTTCCCTTGACTTAGTAAAAACTGTTTCATTATGTTTGTTATTTGATCCTTGAGTGCTTGAGTTAGAATCGACCAACTTTTACAGGAATAATGATCAACATCACTAAATTACAGGAATAATGATTCACCTCACTGTGAAGCTATGAACCTGGGACTTTGCATGTGGATTTTTTTCAGTTTTGTTAGAGTTATTGCCCTTGAATTACAGTAGTATAAATTTGCAATTTTCAACTTGGGGTTTGCTTGGGGATTTATTCAGTATTTGTAAAGTTCTTGCCCTTTACTTAGTAAAAAGGATTTTTAGTTTTCAAAAAATATTTGACCTAGAGTCATAAGATTGACAGAACAGTGGCGCGGTGGGGGCACCCGTGTCCTGTGGACACATTTCTAGTTTTTATTAAAGAAGAATTAAAATGATTTGTTACAATAACATTTAAAAATATTTGAAAATTGTGAGATCCCTTCTTGATGCCTTGAAAATGGCAATGAAGTCTGGAGATTAAGATGTTTTTACATCTAGGTGAGCTATTGTGATCCCCCACCGTCCGCTGACGCCGTCGTCAGCAATTTCTTTAAACAACATCTCCTCAGAAACAAATGACTGCACAGCAACCAAACTTTACAGGAATGATCCTAGCGTGGTCCCCTGCCAAAGTTGATCAAATGGTTCCGGTCTGTTGCATAAGTAGGTCACAGGGCCAGAAAAGGAGTTTCAAAAATGCAAAATTAAAAAATCTTGTTTGAAAGTACAAGGCCTAGAGCTTTGATATTTGGTATATGATATAACCTATAGGTCCTCTACCAAAATTGTTCAAATTTTAGCCCTGGGGTCAAAATTGGCCCCACTCCAGGGGGTCATAGATTTTCCTTATATGTATATAGTGAAAACTTAAAAATTCTTCTTGTTTGAAGGTACAAGGCTTCAAGTTCAAAGAATATTACAGTTTATGCCATGATTAATATATAAATAAAGCCTTATGTCTTCAGTTGTTGTGTTAATAATAACCAGTACTCGGCGGGGGATATAAATTCAACGAATTTGCTTGTTATTTTATAAATGTCAATTTTATCTGAAGAGGACAAATTCTTGAAAGCTTCAAGAAGCATTTGTTTTTATTGAGCTGATTATAATTTATAAATATGTGCAACATAAAACCTATCACTCTTATTATATAACTATGTTTGAATAAGTAGAGAAAATATAAAATATATGCAATATAACTGAAAAAAAAAGATTTTCCATTGTTTAATGAATTACATCTGTACAGTTTTAAATTGTCTAAGATTTCTATATATCTACAGAATCTACAAATGTATACAGTTGTTGAAATCAGTATTACATTATGTAGTTTCAATAGGATGTTGATATTATCCAAGAATTATGTACCAGTGAATATCATATTGTCATGTAACATTAAACATAACTCTGTAGAGAATTGACAACACAAGTTATTACATTGTTATTTCCCTTTGATGTTCATCTTGGATTATTATGTTTGATGTTTTTTGCTATGTTTCTTGAAATAATTCAAGTTGCTTTTAAAATATTAATGCTTTATCAATGATGAAAAACGTGTAGATGTTTTTCATTTATTAATTAATCATACATGTAGTAGAGAACTAAATTTAGCCGTGATTAAGTAAACGTTTTATAAAAATATCTTGTCTTTTGTTTAATCTTTAATAAACTGTTTAAATGACTGTGAATGAACATCAGTTAGGCTAAGTAATTATTGTGGAATAGCATACTTGTACAAACAATTTTATATTAAAGTAATATTAATATTGAAGAATTAATATTACAGAATTTAATATTATACAATTATTCACTAGTCAATAATTGTTTTATTATATGAATAGGCTAAGAAATAAAAAAAATCACGAAAAGTACAACCTTATATACAAGTACAAATTTTGTCTCGTTGAAGCGCGGGAAAAAAGACGCACGTGTTAGGCGTGCAACGACTTCGCGAACGCTGGGCATACAAAAGTAATTCAAGTTTATACTCATCATTGCGGTGTAGCCTTTAAGTAAAATGGTAATGTATTGATATTTTAATCGAGAAATATGCCATATAAAAGAACAAAAAGCAACAATTATTTTTTAAGTAACATGCGTATTTAACAGTCTACGGTGTATGATCATTGAATATGAGTCTCAATCTATTTTTAGACTGGGAAAATCCAATTAAGCCAGTGAATATGATACTACACCCAGTAAATATGATTTTATAAAAAGTTCTGTTGACTACTGTTTGGACCAATGAGATTGCAGCTATATTTAGATCATATAATAAAAACTTATAAACTATGTATGTTATATAGTTTGTGTGTGCAATTCTAACATGCCATTTGTCATACTAAAAATTAAGACATTTCCCTGTAATAACATGTATTACAACATATTTAAATGAATTGTTTTGCCAAATTAAATGAATAATTTGGCCAAAGTGGAACAGTCATTAGTTTTGTACAACAACACATTAGTAGAATCATTTATCACATTTAGAGGAATTATTTGAATCATTTTGCCCAATTAAAAGAAACATTTTTGCCCAATTTGAAGAATCTTTCTTTGCAGTACATCATAATTATATAAATGTTGGAGAGCTAATTTTAATTTAGCTAATTAGACTTTATACTATTATTATAAATCTAATGCCACTTTTGCCTTTTTTTGACCGATTTTATTTTACCGTACCTATTTATGTACATTTTTCTCATATGCCAAGTCTTCTTTTGTGATAATTATTTAAGGACCTATGGTCCTTATTTGATAATGCAGTTTTCCTCACCTCTGACAAATTATATCTCCAAGACATGTTATTTTCCCAGTATTTTTCTCCTTGGTTATGTAAATATAAAAATCTGACAAGTCACATTTTGTTTTATGGAAAAATAATTAATTGTCTACTGTCTGAAAGCTTTAAAATGCAGAGGTTTTTAGGTCAATTCAATTTTTGTATGCATTAAGACATCCAAAGGAGGGTTTGCCAAGGTGTAGGCAACCTTTAAGGTAGACCATGGGTAATGGGCACCATAAAGAACTGTAAAATTGACAACATAGGACAGTTATATGTCTTCAAGGTCACCTGTATGCAAAATTTAAATAAAATTTACCGTGTGGTTTATGAGTTATGGATATATTTCTGAACTAAGACCTTGCCATTTGAAGGGCTTATTTTCAGAAATGAGGAAACTGTAAATAATCTGTAATATCATCATTATAAAAAATGTTTTTCTATTGCTCATTGTTAAGCAACAAATAATAACATTCAAGTAACACATTACACAACCAAAATGTTTGGTTCTAAACAAAATGTTCTTGAAATGTATAAAAATGTAACCCTACCCCACCTACTTTTAACACTAATTTTACCATTTCCCTATCTAAAATGCCTTATTCAAAATATCCCTTAAATTTATCGAAATGAGGGTCTGTTTTCAAACTTTGCCTAAATTTTTTCAAAGGTATATTAGTTGATCATGCGAAATATAAAATACTTTTACCGTGTAATTTTTATTTTATCGAACTTTGAAAATATCTGGTATCATATTTGTTATAAATTTTGGCATTATTTAACCAAAAAAATACCTAAAATAATTATATAATTAAAATCAAACTTTTTTTCTTCCATAAGGGATCAGAGAGATACATAAAAAATGTTAAAAAGAAAAAAAGAAAGAAAAAAAAAGTTGCCCCTCCTGGGGTTTGAACCCATGCCCCTCAATTTCAATGTAGTTTACAAGCGATTCTAGCCTATTTGAATACTCTTCAAAGTGGAGGTAATGCATTACCCATGGTCTACCTTAA